AAGCACATCTTATTTAGAAATAGACCACTAAACAATTTCACATGGTGGAATTTGAGTAATTTTACGAGCCCATTCAAGAATGTCTGCCATAGTTCTTGCAGTAAGATACTGTCATGGGTAGCATGGTCTCTTATGCCTCGTTTCCATTGAGCGGATCGGTTCGGTTCGGTACGGTTCACTATTTTTGGTGTTTTCATTATGAAAGTGGTCCATATAAGCGAATCGTACCAATCCATTCGGGGTCCTGCTTCAGATGTAGGGCCATAGGAAATGGAACAGTTCGGTTAGGGCGGAGCTACTATACAATCCATTGATTGGTGAACATAAAGAGCATTTTTTCTAAACCCCGCATGGCCCCTGAAGGTCTGTCCTGCAGTGGAAACGCTCACCAGAATGGGCTGGACCATTCTAAACCTTCCAAACTGTACCGACCTGAACTGATCCGCTCAGTGGAAACGAGGCATTAGTGTCCCTCGGTCGCCAATTCAGATATGCTCTGTTGATCCTAGATTCAGCTACAGCATACAGTAATTATAGCTACAGGAGACAGTGATCATAGCACTTTTCGTTATTTGGATAATTCCAACAATATAGTGAATGAGACAAGTTGTATTGAGTAAATCAAGTGAACTGTTTATTGCAGGGACAACACATGCATTTATACAAAAAGGAATAGGAGAACACTGCAGCAACATTCAAAAATGGTATGGTAAGAACCATTTGGTCTCCTCCCATTTTGATATCCACAATAATGATCTTAGCAAACTAAAATTTATAGCAATAGCTGCCCTCATGAATCACTGGAGAGGTGGTGACTTTGTCAAAAAGTTAGGTTAAACAGAAATGAAATAAGTATATTACCAGAATAGACTCAACACAACTTTTGATTTATACAATTTTTTAGAATAACTTTTATATATATTTCGTATTTTTTATATATATTTGTGTATTTTACACACACACACACACACACACACACACATATATATATATATCTATATCTATATATATATATATATACGATATATAGAATATATTTAGAATATATAACTTTTATTTCTGCATTGAATTACCATTAAACCATTTTCCCCCTCTTCTTTAATTTATTTAAACATTTTCGTTTATCCCTGTATATACCCAGTTGTTTGTCACCTTATTTGTAATGATCCCAAATTGTATTTCTAATAGGTTGGTTAATAAGTATATTCCTGTTTTAGACATTCAATATTAACAATATATATGTAACATTCCTTTCTGTTTCTGGTTATGTTTTATGAGAATCAGATCCTTTTTTCTTAAAAGCACCATATTGTTGGTGTGTTTGAGTTGTTTAATAGAACACTACTGCAATAAACCCAGTAAAGTGTATTTACATTATATTAAACGTGTTGAGAAATCAGTCTATGTAAATAAGATACAATGTTCTAAATTACATTTTAGTTGCAACACTTGTTATTAACAAGTCACCTAAAATTTCTCAAGATAGCCCCTCCCCTGCCTGCATTCCCACTCACACCCCTAAAATTAAAGTCTGTCTAATTGAAATGTTGGGATTTATACATTTAAATTCAATTTACAGTGAATTTAAGGTCAAATTAGCCAAACTGAACGAATTGCTCAATGGGAGAATTTTTCTCAATGATTTCCTGAGGGTGAATTTTACAATCTAGGCCAAAATAGCAAGTAGAAACATTCTCCAAATCAGTGCTGTTTTTAGATTGACCAGGGCCGCCATCAGGGCGTGACAACCATGACGGTTGTCACGAGCCCGGCGGTCCTGGGGGGCTCGGACTGCTTTGGCAGTCCCGGGCCCCACAATTACTCTCTGCACATATATATATAGCGATAATCGCAATATATATGTTCAGTGCAGGTGCAGCCGCGGGCCCCCGGCTCCCTGTACTTGCAGAGGGGGCCCAGCGGACTGCAAGTGTACTTACAAGCTCTTCCCTCTCTGTAACTCCCGTGAGACCTGCGGCCGTCAGAGCGTTGCCATGGGTTACCATGGCAACGCTCTGCGCGGCACGCACATCGTGCTTGCGGGAGTTACAGAGAGGGAAGAGCTTCTAAGTACAGATGTAGTCCGCTGGGCCCCCTCTGCAAGTACAGGGAGCTGGGGGCCCCCACAATGCCACCGGACCATCAGGGATCATGGTATCTCCCCCCTCCCTGGACCAGGTAAGAAACAGGGAGGGGGGAATAACATTTTTGGAATGCTCCATTTACACTGCATGCATTCACTACACTAACACACACACACACACACTGCATTCACTACATTAACACACACACACACACACTGCATTCACTACACTAACACAAACACTGCAATCATTACACTAACACACACACTGCATTCACTACACTTACACACACATTGCATTCATTACACTAACACACACTCTGTATACACTACACTAACACATAATAACACACACTGCATTCACTACACTGACACACACTGCAATCATTACACTAACACTGCAATCATTACACTAACACACACACACTGCATTCACTACACTAACACACACACTGCATTCATTACACTAACACACACTGTGCATACACTACACTAACACACACTGCAATCATTACACTAACATACACACTGCATTCACTACACTAACACACACACTGCATTTATTACACTAATACACACTCTGCATACACTACACTAAACACACACACTGCAATCATTACACTAACACACTGCATACACTACACTAACACACACACTGCAATCATTACACTAACACACACACTGCAATCAATACACTAACACACACTCTGCATACACTACACTAACACACACACACTGCAATCATTACACTAACACACACACTGCAATCATTACACTAACACACACTCTGCATACACTACACTAACACACACTGAAATCATTACACTAACACACACTGCATTCACTACACTGACACACACTGCAATCATTACACTAACACACACACACACTGCATTCACTACACTAACACACACACTGCATTCATTACACTAACAGACACTGTGCATACACTACACTAACACACACACTGCAATCATTACACTAACACACACTGCAATCATTACACTAACATACTGCATACACTACACTAACACACACACTGCAATCATTACACTAACACACACACTGCAATCATTACACTAACACACACTCTGCATACATTACACTAACACACACTCTGCATACATTACACTAACACACACACTGCAATCATTAAACTAACACACACTGCAATCATTACACTAACACACACTGCAATCATTACACTAACACACACACTGCAATCATTACACTAACACACACTCTGCATACACTACACTAACACACACTCTGCATACACTACACTAACACACACTCTGCATTCATTACACTAACACACACTCTGCATACACTATACTTACACACACTCTGCATTCATTACACTAACATACACACTGCATCCACTACACTGACACACACTCTGCAATCATTACACTAACACACACTCTGCATCCACTATACTGACACACACTCTGCATTAACTATACACACAGCATCCACTACACAAACACCCTGTATTCACAGTACACACACTACATCCACCACACATTCAAACACTCTGCATTCACTATACAGAGACACTGCATCTAATACACACACTACATCCACTACAGACACTGCATCCACTAAACACATTGCATCTAGTACACACAAACACTACATCCACTACACAAACACACACTACATCCACTACACTGTGTTCACTATACACACTGCATCCGCTACACAAACACACACTCTGCATTCACTGCACAAACAGTATCTAATACACACAAACACTACATCCATTACACACATTCTAATTCACTTCCACTATACACACCACATTCAGTCCTGCATCATTTGCAGCGGACTAGGTAGGAGTCTTGTGGGCGGACTCATGGGCGGGCACGGCGGAAGGTGGGAGGGGTGGCGGGGGGGGGGAACCCAGACCTTGTGCTGTGTCAGGGGCCCCATAATTTCTGGTGGCAGCCCTGAGATTGACTATTGTGGTCTTAAAAATTAAATTTTCCATGAATTCACTTTGGATTCACAGAGATCTTCACTTTAGTAAATCAGCCTGGTTAAAAATTCTAATATTTTTAAGCAATAAAAACTTGCGTTGAAGGATATCTGGATCTGCTGACATTACTGTATTCCTAGACGACCTGGAAAACTCTTTAATTTACTGCTATACCTGGTTTATCACAGCCCTGACAGAATTGTGTGCAGTGTTTATATTGATCATATCCCTTTTCCATGTTCCATCTTCTTCTGGTGGGAAAATGGGCAAGTTGACAAGACAAGCTATAAACAAAGCTACAATAAAATTCTAACAGGATACAACACGTTCTAACCATTTACAAAACGGTTGCACTTGTTTTACTTTGCAGATTGCATTCTTTTGAATAAATCACGTTTATCAAGCTGATATTTTATAATAGAACACCTATTTATACATATAGGGTTATTCATCAAAGTGAGAATTTAACGGATGATATCCAGGAATTCTTTGGGAAGAACATTGTTATTAGCAATAATCAGCATGGTTTTATGAAACACAGAACCTATAAAACTAACCTAATTGCATTCAATGAAGAAGTCAGTAGAAGTATAGATCGGCGTGTTGCAGTGGATGTGATCTACTTGGATTTTGCCAAGGCATTTGATATGATGGATTAGTGTTCAAACTAAAAGAAATTGGTCTAGATGAAAATTTTTGTTATTTGGTAGAACATTGGCTTAAAGATAGAGTACAGAGAGTTGTCATTAAAGGTACATTTTCAAGCTGGACAGAAGTGGTAAGTGGTGTATCTCAGGGCTCTGTTCTGGGACTTCTATTTAACATGTTTATAAATGATCTTGAAAGAAGCATTGAAAGTCATGTTTCAGTGTTTGCAAATGACACAAAACTCTGTAAAGTAATAAAATGTGAGCAAGATATTACTTTGCTGCAGAGGGCGATTTACATAGATTAGGGCACTGGGAACTCAAATGGCACATAGAATTTAATAAAAAAGAAAACAAAAAAAAGGTGTGCTGTGCTTTAAAGCCAAAATAAAATTATTGAGCCACACTGATTAAGTTCAGTGCTGAATAATTATACAAAGTGCGCTTTGCAAATCGAACCTAAAATATATTCAAGCCTTGGATAACCCTCTCCTGTGTTTGAAGCTGGATGAAGTACTGCAATCAACTGCTGGCTTCAGAAGATCGCTCAAACCGGGTACCACTTCACTGCTTCCGGGACGTATCCACCTTATACCCTTACACTCTACACAATTGTGGATGCAATGCAATACGTGACTGTTGGTTCTCTCTGGTGCGACACCCCTTAGATGACAGGTATCATCTAAGGGCTGTCGCTATAGAGAGAACCAACAAAGTGAGGCGGTACCCTTTTTAACTATAATTTTTAACTGTGAATAAAGGTTTATCTGCAGCTTCTATTTTCATCTATATTCATTGGAGTTAATAGAGTTAAAACAGGCTCCACTGCTCTCTGATTGTGAGTTCTCTCCCCCTATCTATAAATTATCCCCATTTGTTTTATCAGTACTATTACATAGAAACACATAATGTGACGGCAGATAAGAACCATTCGGCCCATCTAGTCTGCCCAATTTTCTAAATACTTTCATTAATCCCTGGCCTCATCTTATATCTAGGATAGCCTTATGCCTATCCCACGCATGCTTAAACTCCTTCACTGTGTTGATTCCCTTTATGTATTTAAATGTTTCTATCATATCCCCCCTGTCTCGTCTTTCCTCCAAGCTATACTTGTTAAGATCCTTTAACCTTTCCTGGTAAGTTTTATCCCGCAATCCATGAACCAGTTTAGTAGCCCTTCTCTGAACCCTCTCCAAGGTATCAATATCCTTCTGAAGATACGGTCTCCAGTACTGTGTACAATACTCTAAGCAAGTCTGTGCAACGGCATGAGCACTACCCTCTTTCTACTGCTAATACCTCTGCTTATATAACCAAGCATTGTGCTAGCATTTCCGGCTGCTCTATTACATTGTCTGCCTACCTTTAAGTCATCAGAAATAATTATGATTCTATTTTTATACATGTAAAACTTACTTAAGTTTTTGGGCCTTTAACCAAAAGGAACTCTATGTAAGTAAAGTGTGTTTTCCCTTAGCACTACATGCACTATTTGCACAAACACAAGCACTTTGTTGGTATTATTGAATGAGCATATTTTATGTTTGATTTGCCAAGTGCACTTTTTCAGCACAGCACGTAATCAGTATGGCACATTTCATTTTATTTTGGCTTTAAAGGCACAGCCTTTTTTTGTTGTTGTTCTTACAGTGTTTTTTTTTTAGCTTTTACACAGTGTAAGGTGCAGCTTTTGTGGGAAATATTGTATTTATATTTTAGCGCATTTCGATCAAATTTATTGTAGAAAAATGCAAAGTTATGCACTTTAACCCCTTAAGGACACATGACATGTGTGACATGTCATGATTCCCTTTGATTCCCTTTTATTCCAGAAGTTTGGTCCTTAAGGGGTTAATGTATAGAGTGCACAAGCAACTTACACCCTAAATGGTAGTGAATTAAGGATAACAACATGCAACAATGATTTGGGAACTGTTATAGACAATAACCTAAGCAACAATGCGCATTGTCAGTTGTTAAGGCTATTAAGATATTGCCCTATATAAATAGGGACATTAACTCTCAGCATGAGAACATCATATTGCCTCTTTATGAATCACTGGGAAGACCATACCTACAATATACAACTTTGGGCACTTGTTCTAAATAAGGATGCTATGGTACTAGAAAAAGTGAACATTTTAGATATGAAGAAAAGTTAACACATTTAAATCTCTTTAGTGTAGAAAAATGGCACCTCAGTGGATATGATAGCATTATGCAAATATATTTGAGTCCTTTTCAAACCATTGTCTGGAAATCTATTCATAGACAGGACTATACATAGGACAGCAGGTCACACATTTAGAGTGCAAAAAAAGAGATTTAGTCTAAGGCAAAGGAAAAGTTATTTAAAAAAAAAAAAATTATTTTTACAGTGAGCACAGAGGTGGTTTTATCAGAGTCTGTACAGTTGTTTAAACAGCAATTGGATGAATACTTGCAAAAACATAATATTCGCGGATATAATTGTTAATGTATGGGGTAATATCTTCTTGGTCCAAAGAGAGATCTGACTACCATTCTGGGATCAAGAAGGAATTTTTCCTAGTTTGCTGTAAACTGGGTTTACTTCAAACTGTTTATTTTTGCCTTCTTTTGGATCAACAGCAAAACCTGATGTGAAATAGGCTGAACTTGATAGACACATGTCTCTTTTCAGCTTTGTAACTATGTAAGGTGAATTAAGAATACATTTAAAATTTAAGGCCAAAGTAGCTGAACTTAAAGCATAGCTGACTGCAAATTTTTCCAGTTCAGCTACTGTGACCTTAATTTTGAAATTCACTTTTAATTTACCTTGAATTTTCACTTTGGTAAATAACCCTGAAAATATTAAAAATGTTTTTAATAATTCCAATGGTGAGATTATGCAGTAAAGAGTGAAAATGATTAGTAATTTAAATATTTAGCATAGCATCATAGCATTGTGAAAATTTAGCAATGGCAAAATATCTATAACAATTCTCAGTCCTTCTTTATCTGGAATTATAATCTTTTAATTGAAGACGTGTTTTTCTTATATTCATCTTTTTAATAACAGGAACATCCTGTTGTGACATTATTAAATTGGTACGTTTTGCAAAATCTGTCAAAGTCCACAGCAGATTCTCACAATTTATTGCTATAAGTTAGACTTAAATCTATAGGGTTGGTTCACTAAACACTCAAGTGTATTGAACTAAAAAACAAATTAAAAAATGTTCACATAAATATTTAAAATAAAAATATTTAGAAAGTCTCACACTAAAGCTATAGCTTGGATATTTTATTATACATTTTGCAATTCAAATATCAAATTCACTACAATTGTACTTTTAGGGAATAAAAGATAATAATATAGAATATATATATATATATAAATAAATAGGATAATTCTAAGACGTTTAATCACTAAACAATGAATTGTAGTAAACGCATAACAGTGATCACAAAATTTAGGCCAAATAGCAAAACTGGCAATACAATTCAGTTATTCACTAAAGTTAGAATTGTCAGGAAAATGAATTTGAAGTACAAGGCAAACATGGTCAAATTCTCTAAGTCAGATTTGCAACCAGCTTGGCTACTTTCACTTTTAATTTGAAATTCACTGAGAAATCACAAGAATTCTCACTTTATTGAATAACCCTAAACTGAGTTCTAGAATGTTTCCAAAGTAGCTGCTTGATTTGAAAATTAACCCGATTCCTTGTTTAGTATTTAAAACCCTGAATTGTTTTAAAGACCATCTTATTACCTGATACAAATCAAAGACATGCCCTTCTTTTAAGGCTTGTCTTAAAATTAAAGATCATCCAAATAATAGTTTAATTTAGGTCAGAGATCTGTATGCGTGCACAATGGTGAATCACCCAATGTTCTTTATTAGTCACAGCTTTCCAGTTAATATTCCTATTCTAGTTACTATTAGCAGTAACCAGGAGGTGCTGACACCCAAACAAGCTTCTATTCACTATTTGCATTCAGTGCTCCTGAGTCCTGATATTTCTGCCAAAATCTCCCTCGTATTACACACATCGATCCCTTCCCTTTCTGCTAACATCTGCATTGTACATTCCTATTGCTGGTTCCGATCCTATCTGCACATTGTTAAACATTATATTTTACAACAAAGAAACACTTGATTGTCTGTAAAGTGGCATATATTTTATAGTTTTTTTCATACAGTACAAAAATATTTACACAGCTCACACAATATATGTACAACACAAAAAAATATTTACTAGCTCTTCTATAAAGATAACAATCATGAAATAAAAGCATTTGGCATGCAGCTGATTTTTTCATCATTTAATAAAATATTCTTTGCAGGGGAACTGTAAAAGCAACAGTTTATAGTGTAGCAATGGTGCAAGAGAAAGCTCATCGTTCCCCTTAGTTCCATAATACCAGAATACCATATTATTATTATTATTATTGTTACTATTATTTATAAAGCACCAACAAATTCTGCATCGCTGTACAATGGGAGACCTAGCATACAAGTATTTGTAACAAAACAAGTTGGGCACAAAGGAACAGAGGGTGTTAAGTGCCCTGGTCAGTGAACTTACATTCTAGAGGATGTGTAACTGGGGATGTATTGTCCTCACCAAGGATCAAAGCAGATCTACTGCCTTGCTTATAATCCAATAAACTATGATAAAGCGGTAGGTCTGCACCTTGTCTGTGCTACTGGAGAACAAGTGTAAATAAATATGATTTAAAATCCAGGCAACCTCACTTCAAGCTAAAGAGGGTCACATGAAGGAGCTGCAAAGAGATATTTTTTTTGGTAAAGTGTTACAGCTAGGCAGGAGCACAGCATGATTACCGATTACATGTGGCAATAACGTGACACTATTATCACCCCTCGTGGCTTTCTTTTCCCCACTCTTTAATGAGAAGTAAAATTCCCAGTTTCAGACACTGATATATATGTATATTGTAGAGTTGTTAGACCCATTAAATATTTGCAGCTGAGATTATTATTTCATAGTTGTGCCTTCAGTTGAATTTTTTTCTGCCTGTCTGTCCAATTACCTCAGCTATTGCAGTTTTATTTCTAAAGGGACATTCTAAGTAACGTAGCCTGCACAGACCTTACAGTAGTTATGGTCCTATGTATGCTGTGCCCAAGTTTATGTCAATTTGTTTTTAAGCAAGGCTCTCCTTGGCACTCTTAGCGCACCCCCTCTTCAGCTGATATGATGAGCAAATTACACTTCTGTATTACCAAGTACAAATTTGTCCAACTTGGAAGGCAATAGTAGAATGAAAGTTCTGGGGACAATTTCTGCTGTTGGATAGACAGAACAAACGGAGGTGTGTAAAAGGTTATTCTTGACGGAGTTTAATGTTTTTTCAACATATATTACTATGTAAGATTTATAATGTAAATGTTTTAGTTGTCAACATTGGTGGCTTATAACAGGCACATCTATGTTCTGTTTTAACAGCCCCAGCGCTGTTTCATGAAACATTTTTTATAAGGTCTAACATGACGGATTTTCTAACGCAGAGGAACAAATTAAATATCAAATGTAGAAGGAATTTCAAAACACAAAGTAACAAAAAATGTCCTCTACTTAATTTAAATCACTGCCTTAAAGCTCTTAAAGGGGCACTCCACTTCCCAAATACAATATAAATAAAAATTACTGTTTAGTAGATATACCACAAATGAAAACTTGTGTGCATTTAATTTGCCTTAGCATCCCTCTTCTAACCTCGCCCAGACTTTCTCTTTCTGTCTAATCACAGACTTCCCAATGCAGCTCGATGAGAAGTTTTTGCAAGGCAGGTGCTCTGGGCCTGTTGATCTGTCGTCTGCTTGAAAAGCCAGGGGGTGTAACCAGTGAAGTTTATAAAAGTGTCAATTTCTATTGAAATCTGCACTATTTCCAAAATGGAAAAAAAAAGAGGACAATCTCTTCAAATATAAAGATTTTCAGCAAGCTAAAGTGCTTTAGGGGTCTGGAGTGTCCCATTAAGGACACATGATGGAACTTTTGCGTCATGTTGGCATTTTACTTCTGAAGCCGTGTCCTTAAGGGGTTAAGTGTTGTTTTCCCTTCATAAACTGGCAGTGACAGGAGTCAGGTTGTTTTAACGTAAAACTTGCAATAGTGTACGTCTTTGATGTCCTTCAGCATGCAGTTTGGAAGACATTCCAATGTCATTATAAATAATATTTTCACTCTGTTTCACTCAGTATTCCATCCAAATTATTGGCGTTTATTTTTCAGGTTTTTGCCCTGCCCTTGCCTGTAGACAGGAGTACTCAGAAGTTCTCCTTATTGAAGTAGAATTGTACTTTCCTTGGATCCATGCTAGAAAACTGGTGGCAACATTGCTGTAGATTCTTTCCAAGTGCACTTGGTCCACAAAGAAATACACCCACTGTAGATCTATAACATAAATCAAGAAGAAAGAATGAAAAATCAATCTTCCTATAATTTTCCTTTTAACAATAGGAACCCATTCTCTCTTTTTCTACTAACTTATACAATGATGGTAGGTTGAAAGATCAATTTTCACTGGTAAGATACTGATTGTATGGGAACAACATTTTCTATAAGTCCCTCTGTAGGTGGGTTCTATACAGCCCAACTCTCTATTTGTAATTGACCACAGTAGGAAAGGACAACTCAATATCTAGAATTCATTTTGTTTTTCTAATTTTCTTGACTAATAGACTAACCTTGGGTGGGCTTCTGACACCACGGAAAACTCATTTTCCCAAAGTGGTCGTCCGTAACTCGTTTTCTGTCTCAGTCCTGTAACTGCATCAGTTGCTTCATCAAAATGAACAATGGCATGTCCAGCCTGGGTACGAAACAAAATAGGTATTTATTAAGGATACAGTGTTACAAAGTTCTACTTTGCCAGATATGTTTTAAAAAATATGGGAATAAATTTGATATGACCTTTTAAAACAGAAAGCTATAAAACTGAAAGCCAGATTTTTTTCTCTCTCATTTGCCATTTTTTATTGCATCAAGGTATTATGAACACTTTTCTCATTGATGGAGCTACCATGCGCTGGGCCAGATTTTCCATTAGGCAGAGAAAGCATCTGCTTACAGGCGCCTGACCAGTAGGGCATATTTACAGCATTTATAATGTGCCTTTTTGAACATTAGGTGGGCTGGTGAGGGACCAGTGTCTTCTGTAGTCCAGTCAGCCTCCTTTGTTTGATAACAGAGTTAAAGGAAGAGTTCTACACAGAACTCTACCAGCTCCTCCAGTGTCTTTGTGTGAGGCTGGACAGGAAGTGGAAGGGATCACTTCCGATTTGTCCACCAGTAGGCTCTCATACAGGAAATGCCTTGCAGGAGGAGCAGGGTAAGACCTAAATGATTCACACACTAAATAACAGTTACAGCAGTTTTACTCAACCATAGGAGGGTAAATACTTTGCAAATAATCCATTAAACTCCACAGTCCTGTACCCTAAACACCCAATTGTTACCTAAGCCTAAATGTAACCCCTCCCAAAACCTAAACAAACTCTTTCCTTAGTCCCTCAGTCCCAAACTTAAGCACTCAACGCCGGTGTTCTATCAAATTTCCCTACCCGTGAAAATCCCCTACCCTCGTCACTTCCGGTGAGGGAAATCAGCTGGCTCCTGTGCTGCACACCATTTAACCCTTTACTAGACTTAACTCCTAAAACAAATAATACTGAACTACGCACAGCTATACCCCTCTCAAGCCTTTAGTCCTCGTAACACCAAACACCCTGTGTAATCTAACTGTGACATTAACTCCCAACCTTAACACCCCTTTACCCGAATAACTTCTAACATTATCTTTAACCCTGCAATGCATTTACACAGTTGCATACACTCACTATACTTACAGACGGAAACACAATGCGTTACAAATTTGCAGATACATACATTTATACAGATCTAGTTGTAAAATTTGAATATATATTTCAATTCAGAATTTTTAGGGTATTATAGTGACCGCTTTGTAAAAAAAAAAAAAAGTGAAAACATCCCTTGTATTCCATGATGTTGGAGGATGTTTATAACATATCCCATGGGATCAACTAGGGGATCCCCAAGTCTACTGACACTGTGACTTCCCCCAGGTGAAGGAACCTGACACTCTGTAATCTGTTCCAGAACCCATTTTGCCAATGGTCATCAAGCCGCTAAAACAAAAAAGTAGCATTTACCAAGCCAATAAAATCAAAAACATGAGCATTAATATGTCACTGCTTCTTCTATCTTGGCTTCCCATATTTTGTGATTGGAAAGGTATACTGTGTAATGATCTACCAAATCCTGGCTCCTCCTAGTACCCAGGGCCGCCATCAGGGGGTGACAACCATGACTGCTTTGGCAGTCCCGGGCCCCACAATTACTCTCTGCACATAAATATAGCGATGTTCGCTATATATGTGCAGTGCAGGTGCAGCCGCGGGCCTCCGGTTCCCTGTACTTGCAGAGGGGGTGCAGCGGACTGCAAGTGTACTTACACTTACAAGCTCTTCCCTCTCTGTAACTCCCGCGAGTACCGCGGCTGTCAGAGCGTTGCCATGGGTTACAGAGAGGGAAGAGCTTGTAAGTACAGATGTAGTCCGCTGAGCCCCCTCTGCAAGTACAGGGAGCCGGGGGCCCCCACAATGCCACCGGACCACCAGGGATCATGGTATCTCCCCCCTCCCTGGACCAGGTAAGAAACAGGGAGGGGGGAATAACATTTTTGGAATGCTCCATTTACACTGCATGCATTCACTACACTAACACACACTCTGCATACACTACACTAACACACACAATGCAATCATTACACTAACACAGACTCTGCATACACTACACTAACACACACACTGCAATCATTACACTAACACACACTCTGCATTCATTATACTAACACACTCTGCATACACTACACTAACACACACACTGAAATCATTACACTAACACACACACTGCATTCACTACACTAACACACACACTGCATTCATTACACTAACACACACTCTGCATACACTACACTAACACACACTGCAATCATTACACTAACACACACTCTGCATACACTACACTAACACACACACTGCATTCATTACATTAACACACACTCTGCATACACTTCACTAACACACACACTGCATTCATTACATTAACACACACTCTGCATACACTACACTAACACACACACTGCAACCATTACACTAACACACACACTGCAATCATTACACTAACACACACTATGCATACACTACACTAACACACACACTGCAATAATTACACTAACACACACTCTGCATACACTACACTAACACACACTCTGCATTCACTACACTAACACACACACTACAATCATTACACTAACACACACTGCATACACTATACTAACACACACTGCATACACTACACTAACACACACACTGCAATCATTACACTAACACACACTGCAATCATTACACTAACACACACACACTGCAATTATTACACTAACACACACTCTGCATTCACTACACTAACACACACACTGCAATCATTACACTAACACACACACTGCATTCACTACACTGACACACACTGCATTCATTACACTAACACACACTCTGCATTCACTACACACTAACACACTCTGAATTCACTACACTAACACACACTGCATTCTCTACACTAACACACACTCTGCATACACTAAACTAACACACACTCTGCATTCATTACACCAACAGACACTCTGCATTCATTACACTAATACACACTGCAATCATTACACTAACACACACTCTGCAATCATTACACTAACAGACACTCTGCATTCATTACACTAACACACACACTGCATTCACTACACTAACACACACACTGCATTCATTACACTAACACACACTCTCTGCATACACTACACTAACTCACACACTGCAATCATTACACTAACACACTCTGCATTCATTACACTAACAGACACTGCATTCTTTACACTAACACACACACACTGCAATCATTACACTAACACACGCTCTGCATTCATTATACTAACACACACACTGCATTCACTACACTAACACACACACTGCAATCATTACATTAACACACACTGCATTCACTACAGTAACACATACACTGCATTCACTACACTAACACACACTCTGCATACACTACACTAACACACACACTGCAATCATTACACTAACACACACTCTGCATACACTACACTAACACACACACTGCAATCATTACACTAACACACACTCTGCATTCACTACTCTAACACACACACTCCATTCACTACACTAACACACACTCTGCATACACTACACTAGCACACACTCTGCATACACTACACAAACACACACTCTGCATTCACTACACTAACACACACACTGCATCCACTACACTAACACACACTCTGCATTCACTACACTAACACACACTCTGCATTCACTACATTAACACACACACACACACTCTGCATACACTACACTAACACACACTCTGCATTCACTACACTAACACACACACACTCTGCATCCACTACACTAACACACACTCTGCATTCACTACACTAACACACACACACTCTGCATACACTACACTAACACACACACACTCTGTATTCACTACACTAACACACACTCTGCATTCACTACACTAACATACACACACACTCTGCATACAGTACACTAACACACACTCTGCATCCACTACACTGACACACACTCTGCATTCATTACCCTGACACACACTCTGCATTAACTATACACACAGCATCCACTACACAAACATCCTGTATTCACAGTACACACACTACATCCACCACACATTCAAACACTCTGCATTCACTATACAGAGACACTGCATCTAATACACACACTACATCCACTACATCCACTAAACACATTGCATCTAGTACACACAAACACTACATCCACTACACAAACACACACTACATCCACTACTCAAACACACTCTGCGTTCACTATACACACTGCATCCGCTACACAAACACACACTCTGCATTCACTGCACAAACAGTATCTAATACACACAAACACTACATCCATTACACACATTCTAATTCACTTCCACTATACACACCACATTCAGTCCTGCATCATTTGCAGCGGACTAGGTAGGAGTCCTGTGGGCGGACTCGTGGGCGGACTCGTGGTTGGGCCGGGCGGGTGGGGGGGCCCAGACCTTGTGCTGTGTCAGGAGCCCCAAAGTTTCTGGTGGCCGCCCTGCTAGTATCCTTTGGATTTGCCATTCTGTGTCACAGTTGAACTGTGGTCCCCTTGAACACATGATTAAAGGGGTAAGCAACCACAGACCCATTGACCCTGATATCTCTTTGAACTCATTGAACTTCCTCACTGTGACTTTGGATTCTCTTGGGTCTCCTGCCTCTCAGACACATCCCATGTATATCTCCATGTAACATTGTGGCAATTTCCTAAAATCTATGTAAAACTTCATATGTTTCTTACTGTTGAATTGCAGTGTTATTCACTAGTGTGAGAATTCAAAGTGACATCAAAGTGAATTTCAAATTGAAGGTCAAAATAGCCAAACTGGAAAAATTCTCTGTCAGCTATGCTTTCCTTTCAGCTACTCTGGCCTTAAATTTGACATTCACTTAAATCCAGTTTGGATTCTCACTGTAGTGAATAACTCTGATAATGAGTGGGACAGAGTGATAAGACTAACATTGGCAATGCCTTCTTGTAATGTCAGGTGGGGCTTCAAACAGCATAGTTCATCTTCCAGTTTCGATGCAGAACCCGTCCTTTTGCCAAACTACATCCTGCGTTACCATTGATGTGAACTTATGCTGAGAACCCCAGGCCTATATATACCCTGCAGTTGTTCTCCATTGTGGTTGTTACTTATCTCTACTCCCAAGAGCAGGTTATTCTTTCAGTCTATATAGGTTTAATGATTTGGCTTATCGACCTTTGTTCTGTCCTCTGGCACCCCGACTCAGCTTGGCCTCTCAATGCTCTCTAAACCCTTTGACCTCAGCTTGTTACTGACTTTCCCACCTGCATGTAGGTGACTATTTTACCTTTATATAGGCAGCATGTTAAGCTTAGCCACACTAAGGACAACTAATACACATTTGTCATATTTTCATTTCCATTAGGATACATAGATTGAATCTGTTTGTTTTGTACAGTCTGTCATTCAAGTCCCATTGAACGCCTTTCATGGGTATAGTTTGATCACTTAATGATTGTATCTTTTTATGCCATGTGTCTGTACCAAACCTCACAGTTGGTTTTATTCTTCTTTTTCTGATTTTTTTCATATCTTATCTACCCATTGTTTTAACTCTAACTAATTATAAATCAATGTTTGGGCAACAAACTTTGCAAGAATATGTTCTTTGTCTTAAGGTTCCAAAGGTCATGTAATTACTGTTTATATACATGTAGTTACATCAGATTATACTGGGCTTGGTATATTAAGTAAAAAGTATAGCAAAACTTAGTTTGAAAGTCTAAACAGCAATGCACTTTTTACAGAACCCTGTCTGAGGCCATTTTATTTCTGTACATAAATACTTTCCCTAATATAATTTCATCTTTGTTTTATCTTCAGGATTATCTTCAATCGTGTTGTCTGTATTATAAAGCGTAACAAAAAAAGTGTGTCACCACTATAGAATTATCGATCACTTTGTTCATGCAACCCTAGCCCCACCTCTTTGCATGTGACTTGCACAGCCTTCCTAAACCTTTCCTATAAAGATAAATCTAATGTTTAAACCTCCATTATTGCACATTCTGTTTAATTCAGTGTTTCATATTTCCTTCTATGTTAAAACTATTTCTAAATCCTGTATAGTACATTCCACAGAGCAGGAGATAAGGGGGATGCCAGGGGATGTGTAAGGAGTAGGGTTAGGGTAGGGTTAGGGATAGGGTTGGGAGTCGGGTTAAGATTAGGGTAGGGTTAGGAGTAAGGGTAGGGTTAGGGCTAGGAGTAAGGTTAGTGTACCTCTACCCATACCCCTAACCCTACTCCTAAACCTAACCCTACCCTACCCTTAACCCTACTCCTTACACATCCCCTGGCAGTTATCTCCTGCTCTGTGGAATGCACTTTACAGGATTTGGAAGACTTTTAACATAGAAGGAAATATGAAACACTAAATTAAGCAGAATGTGCAATAATGGAGGTTTAAACATGCAGTTTATACAATTATAGAGCTAGACTCATTGTAGCCACTCTATCTTAAAAAAATCCACATGCTTTAAACAAGTTATCTATGCTACATGTTACAGTATCTGAATCAGCCTCAAGTTCTTTTGCTAGCATGTATTATACGTACAATGCTGCTGTCCCAATTGGTGAGAAAGAGTCTGTAATTAAGGAATCCATCTTTTCCAGAGGAGATCATTTCTTGTTCAAGAGAGCGAAGCAGATCAGCAAACCAGGCAAATGCTCCAGTCTCTCGACAGATCCAGTAGAAATAGATCTATAATATAAAGTGGAGAAGAGGAACATGAAAATAGTTTATTTTCTTATTACTCATCAATAATTAATATGCTGTTCTCTAGAGGTTATTCCATCGTTTTGATTGTGTGTGCTAATAATACATCAAATTAAAGGTAAATATGTTCACAATTAGGTCAGACTGAAAGTAAGTAAGATGCATTTGTCTATGAACACATGACATGCTGCTATCTCTGTCCTTGATTTCAATTTACCAATCTAAATTGCTCTTCAGACGTGGATTCACAAGAATGTTGCACAATGCCATACATTTTTTGTGTTACACTTTTTTATGTTACCTTTTGGGTTTTTAGCCGTTGATCCTCTTTTTGAAGCTTGTACCAAATGGATTTCAAGATGGATGCAAAGGGAGTGACCCCGATCCCAGCACCAACTAGCATGCTGACCTCGTACTTGAAAACATCCTCACTAGCTGTCCCAAATGGACCGTCTACCTCCAGTCTAATTACAAAGAAATTTGTAGTTATTGCCATATTAAAGAAAATAAGAAATACTTTACAAATAACATATGGAAGGACTTTGAGAAATGGTAGTGATCATCAAGAATTAAGTAAAGAACAAGTGACCTTTTCGCTGTGTCTCACCGTGGTGTGTTATCTGCTTTCTCCTGAAAGTCCTGAATTAGTTTCTCAGTCCAGTCCCCTGCAGAGCGGATGTGCACAGAGAAGAAGTCTTCCTCCGGGGCCGAGGTTAGAGTGAATGGATGCCATTCCAATGTAGAAATTGTTGGGCAGTTGATAAAGATGTATTGCCCCACTTCCATATTAAATCCTTGTTTTTTCATCTGAATCTCAAGAACCTTAGATGGATGACTGACAGCCTAGGAGGACAAGACAGGAGTGAAGAGTTTAGGTAAATTATATTATATCTTGATTTTAAGGAATGAGGATATTTGACTTGTTGGGCCCAGGATTTAAAACACAGCCTAAAATAACTCCCAGCCAAAGGGAGGAATAGTAGGGAAAGTCACTCACTCCTCTATTCCAAAACAGGTCTAACCTGTAATAAACCTAGACAATAACTTAAAGGAACATTAAATTAATGTTTGAAATAACTTTGTTGAGTAATTTGTTTAAAATGAGGACAACTGTCCTCTTTTTAACTATATTACCAAATAAAGTTTTTTCAAATATTTATTTAGAGGACACTATAGTCACCAGAACAACTATAGCTTAATGTAGTTTTTCTGGTGAGTATAATCATTGCCTTCAGGCATTTTAATACAAACGCTGCCTTTTCAAAGAAAATGCAGTGTTTACATTGCCCCTAGGGACACCTCCAAGTGGCCACTTCTCAGAAGCCATCACTACCATTTAGCGTCTCCACGCACTGCATGGGGACGCTGAAATTTCCCCATAGAGATGCATTGATTCAAGGCGGAGGTGCTGATTGGCCAAAATGTTGTTTGACCCCACCCCCTTGGCACTTTTAGGGAATCCAATGCTTTCCTCATAGGAAAGCAATGGATTGGTTAAAAATCGGCAATTCTGATGATGTCACCAAGGGGACGGAGCCAGTGCCGGCGGACCTGCGCGGCACTGGAAATAAGGTGAGTTTTAATTGGTTTTAAGGGGGCTAAGTGGGGGGCAAGCCACCTAAATGGTGGGTTTAGCACTATATGGTCAGAAATATATGTTTGTGTTCCTGACCCTATAGTATTCCTTTAATTTCCATTTGTCCCCTCATCCTACTTTTTCTGGATTGGCGTTGACTGGATCCAGAATAGTTTATATTTATTATCGAGGATTTAGAACACACTTTCCACTGCATGCAATTGTAACTTATATGTTTAATGTGGGTCGATAAATTTGTGAAACAGTTGTTTAGCAATGAATGCATGGAGTAGGCTTAATTCTTTATTATACTCTGTTTTGACTTTATTAGTGTGACCCAACATATAGTGCATTAGTATGGAACCTTTAAAACCAAAATTATGGTGACCACAAATTACTTCCAGTGGGTGTTCTGGAGCAACAACTTTTATTGGAAAAGAATTAGCAAATAGTTCTGAGTGGTAAATTGACGATACTCGTAAAGGCTTTGTGCTAAGCAGCAAAATGCTATTATTAAAGGACCACTCTAGGCACCCAGACCACTTCAGCTTAATGAAGTGGTCTGGGTGCCAGGTCCAGCTAGGGTTAACCCATTTTTTCATAAACATAGCAGTTTCAGAGAAACTGCTATGTTTATGAATGGGTTAAGCCTTCCCCTATTTCCTCTAGTGGCTGTCTCATTGACAGCCACTAGAGGCGCTTGCGTGCTTCTCACTGTGATTTTCACAGTGAGAGCATGCCAGCGTCCATAGGAAAGCATTATGAATGCTTTCCTATGTGACCGGCTGAATGCGCGCGCATCTCTTGCCGCGCGCGCGCATTCAGCCGACGGGGAGAAGAGGAGGATCGGAGGAGGACAGCTCCCCGCCCAGCGCTGGAAAAAGGTAAGTTTAAACCCCTTTCCCCCTTCCAGAACTGGGCGGGAGGGGGACCCTGAGGGTGAGGGCACCCTCAGGGCACCATAGTGCCAGGAAAACGAGTATGTTTTCCTGGCACTATAGTGGTCCTTTAATGTGATGTTTGGGCAATATGCATCTCGTGTTGTTTACTGTTCCTTCTCATCCTGTCATGGGTATGTTGATATATATGAAGACATCCATAATCTAATTCACCATGTGACTTACCTTTGTCACAACAACTCTCTGTTGAGATCGATAGAACCTCAGAATACGTTCAAAAACATATAGAATTATTGGTGCTAAAATCCACTTCCATGTCTGGAAAAAAACCATCAAATATTTTAGTAAAATTTGGAAAAATAATATTATTATACATTATTATTATTAAACACATTTTAATAATTAGACAAACCATTGCTCAAATTGCTCTTTTTGAGTAAAAGGTTCATCACAACTTATTTGATAACTGAAATAATACAAAAGTTCAATATTTCTAACTTTTAAACAAAATCTAATTCCATCATAAATCAATGATGCAATATTACACACTAGTACACACGGGGCAGAGGGTTTTTGGTAATAGCCCTTACCATAGGTTCATTGCCTTGGAAAACGGGTATGAGGCATTGATTATCATCTTCCTCATTGCTGTTTGGGGTAACCTGTTTCCATTCCATAAACTTGTCTTTACAGGATGAATAAAGATTTTGTTTCATACTGTCAGGTGTCTGTCCTCGTACAAGACGTCTGTAGTAGCATGGTGGGGAAAAAAAAATGTAAGCAGCAAATCAGTGGACTCGGTATATTGTGTATATTACAGAAAGTTGTTAAATCCTGTATTACATATTTGGTCAGGAATATGCAACAACAAGGATCAACACTTACCCAACTCCATGAATCAGAAGACCCACAAAAAAGATGACAAAGAGGTGGTGTGTGTACCAGAAAACCTCGAAGAAGCTTCTACGGATGAACTCCGTGGAGGAGGTGATCATAACTATCAGCGCCAGAGTGATAACTACGCCCGTTATACCAGCAATGGTTGTGAAAACAATATAGGATGGTGTCTGTGAATAGGAAAGCATGTGTTATATCACTCTGTATAACCTTAAATATCAACATTACTAATGACAATTAGTCTTGTGAGCAGGTGATATGTTTTATTGTATTTTTTAAAGGCAACATTTTGTAAATCAGTGATTCTACTATTCCTCGTTCCAAAGCATTCAGACTCAGGGTTTCCCTCTAATGCTGCTCTGTTGTTGCATTTTGCAATCACTATAACTTTTTGCACATAATCTACAGTCTTTAATGTTCTTCACAAGCATTCTACCAATTATTCACAAGCATTCTGCCCATATCTACTCACCATAATTATTGTAAAAACTGACATTATTCCATGCAGCTCATACCACTATATACATCACTTTCATAATCAAACCAAGCAAGCCTATGGTTGTCTTGCTGCTCATACAATGTATTCAAAAGAGCTAATCATCATAACATATGGTCAAATACCTGTTCCTTGGATCTTATAGGGTTCACCCATCCACCATTTTCCCCAATGATTGATAACTTTCCTTTTAGAGTGGTATCTGGACTCAGTATCCCATCGTAGAACCACTCCACGTTAAGTAAGTGTGCAATGGTATGAACAGCTAAATAGAGAAAATAAATATGTATAGGAATACAATGGCACGGAGAAACATAAGTAGCACCATCACAGAGAAGTTGCTAAACTATTAAATAGCATCTCCCTATCTACCAATAACGTAAGCCTTTTAGTGCAGTAAGGGGCAAGGTGCCACTATTCCCTGAAGCCCTGAAATAAATCACATGCATGTAAATATGTTGTTAAATGTCTTCAGGACACTTATATAATCTGAGCAGGTCACAAGTGATTTCCATGTAAGAAAGAAGCAGAATTTAATGGTGGTCATCGAAAGTATTCCATCCACATGAAGAGAGGCGGAGGGTTATTATAACTAGGTAGATGACTACCAATAAACTCTACTCCTTACTATATCACGTGTAAAGAAGGATTAAAGTTACTCGATATATATTGTACATTAGCACCCTAGCTGTAGCACCTTAGATTAAAAAAAATTAAAAGACCAGTCACCTGATCCCTTCTATGCTACTTTTAGGCGGGTCCAAAATTCCTAATAATATAACAACCCCTCTTAATATAGGTCCCTCATTCCCAAATAAAATACTCCCCTTCTTCTTTTTTTTTTTTTTAAATCAGATTTTTTATATCTTCAATTCCTTATTTTTATTGTGCATATATGAACAGCATGCGTGCAGAGCCACAACAGCAACTGCAAGCGTTGTCATAGCATTTCCGAGTGTGGCAGTTTGAACAGCACTTTTCTAGATAACATGGAGAACATAAGACAGCAATATTTTATAGTAAACATGCTAGACTCGATATTATGCACATGCTCAGGCAAGTTATACTTAAAGTTATGGTAAGGTGTGTAGCATAGCATTTGAGAAGGTGATTTTTATTTTTGAGTCAACGATAGCTCGGTGTTAAATGTAAATTTAAACCAACAGTATTTCCGCAATTTTTAACATGCTTGGGCTGCCCCATTAGTTGTCCTAGCTGATAACACAATGCATGAGCTGTTAAAATAAACTCAGGTAAGAAGTAAGCACAAAAACTCTGTGCAAAATAAAAGAATAACAGGTTAAGGACTATTACTGTGCTGTGTGTTAAGCTGGTGAGCAGAGAACAGTTCTTGTATTAGGGGGCATGGTGAGGAAGTCTAGCTGTGGTGAAATATGCCTGGCAGACTCCGGTTCTGTGCCTCTGTTCACCCGATCCCCTCTGGGTGCCAGCTACAGTCCCCCAGAACCCTTGTCAGCTGGAGTGTTGGAGGCATGAAGATGAGTAGGTGCCAGGCGTCCAGCAGGTGTTGGCGGAGGTTTACGTTGTCGGGGGGTCGGTGCTGCCCTGCTGGGCAAGGTGCTTCCGTTCTGGTTCGGAGTTGTGGTGAGTTAGGGTGAGGATGGATGTTAGGCGTGGGGCCGACTTTTCATTTCTGCCTGTGCCGCCGGTCCCGACGTCTGCACCTCTTCAAGGAGCCGCCAGCGGTTGTCATTCTGCTTCTGCCCTGAAGGCATGAAATTGCCGGGGGTGTAGCTGCAGTAAAAGCCTGTTTGACTGGAACCATGTTCAGCTTCCTCGACGATATCGTGGCCCAGAAGGCAGCGAAAATCTCGTTGAGCTTTGTAAGTGAGTTAGTCGCTGGGTCCCCACAGGCCCCCATGCCTGCTGGCTGGCGCGTGGCATCCGCCATTTTTGGATTGGTGATTCTTGGCTCAAGCAGGCCTTGGGAAGTGGGTCTCTGCCTTAACTGTACCGTTGGTGCCGGGATATCCCTCACTGGTGGGGGTGGGGGAGGGAGGCTGGTGGATGGTCTTCTGTCGCTTCGAGATCTGCTTCTAGGGGGCTCCAGGCTGGGTGATCGGCCGCCTCACCTGTGTCCTTGCCTCTTCCCAGGCCGCGAATCGGGTCGGTTAGCGTTAGAGTAGGCCCCAGTGATATAGCCCGCGTTTCCCGTATCTCAGCCATTCTTAAAACGTCTCGTTATGATCTCCTTTGCTTCCCTGACATGGGTGATGCAATTACAGGGGATTAAATAGCTTGGAAGTTGGGTTAATTTCATGTAAAGTGAGTATTCAGACGGGAGCTCATGCTGCACGCGTCTGTTCAGCTCCCCAACCCAGCCCCACCCTCTCCCCTTCTTTTTAAGGTCTTAAAATAAAAGTACCTCTTATTCCTACCTACTTACCTCTTTACTTATTTATAGAAAGTGGTGGATTTTCTCCATAACCCTTACAAAAATGTAAATAGTAATTGATATTTGCTTTATGCAGATCATATTCTATTAATGGAAATAGGTTCATAACCTCTGACGTATGATGGAAGTGACTGTGTAACAAGCTATTCACAAAGCATCATTGAGTAAGCCTTGCTCTCGTTTCGTAGTATTAATGTTATAGGAATGTAGTCCTATTGGCTATAGCATAAATTAACTCAGGGGACTTGACATTGGACCTGAAAAAACTGTACTGTGTTATGTATTGATTGCCCTGCACACCACAATATATAAGTAATTTAAGAATATATAAGCTACCACAACAGACAATATAATATAATTGGAGACCTTGTTCTCCTGTCCTCTTGTCTTGATTTTCCCACCTCCACTCTGTTCTATTTATAGCCTCCAGCCTAAAAAGGTCTTTTGCACATGATTATTCTCTACACATGCCTTGTTCCCAAGTATGACACAATCACTTTTTTTCTTGACTTTCGTCCTTCACTATCCTGAGTTCTTTCTCCCACTCCTTTGTTCCCTTATTTCCCTGATGTCTGTCCTCTTTACTCCTCCCAACTCATTTGTGTTCTCTCTTTCTCTCTAATATCAGTTCTCTTAAACTTCTCTTCTCTCTTAATCTTCCTCCGAACCCTCTATGCCACCTGCACAGTTATTCGAATGATGCACACTGTATAACAGCGCCTACTTTTCTATTATCATAGGAGGGTATCTACAGGGTGACTACAGATTATGGTGAGGGTGAGTACTCGACAAATAATCCTCCAAACTCCACGTCGGTACCCTAAACATCCCCTTTACGTAACCCTAATTTTAACCTCTCCCAAAATCTAAACAAGCTTTTCCATTAGTGCCAAATTAAAGCACTCAAAGCCTAACCTGAAAAATTTTGTTTTTCCTTATTTCTAGGATTGACACCCTATGTAATTTAACTCTGACATTAACCCCGATATAATGTTAACCCTAATTACTTCCAACATTACTTTTAATCATACATGCATTCACATAGCTATATACGCTCACTATATTCACATCTTCAAACACAATAAATTAGATGTAGAAATATGCACTAAGTGTGCTTGATCTCGTATGTTGTATTAAAGGGACAGTACAGGAACTGAGACCACTTCATCTCATCAAGTGATCTGGGTGCACTGTCCGTGTCCCCTAAACCCTGCAAATGAAAACATTGCAGTTTCCAGACAGTCAGTAGATGTGCTTCTTGACTTCTTATGGAGTTTAACTTGGTGAAACGATGTTGGATGTCCTTGTCCTCAAGCTTTGTATAAGGATGTCCAGTATCTTCCAAATACCCTTAGGAAGGTCTAATGCGTGCTGCGCTTGTCGTGCATTAGCATTAGGTCCTCCATCAGTGTGATGTTGCTGGAGCGATTCGGTCCTGGAATTAAGGTAAGTGAAAAAAGGGTTTTTGACCCTTTCATTGTCACGGGCGAGGGCTTTAGAGATAGTGCCAAGAGGAGAATGTAGTGTTAGGAATACAGTTTTGTATTCCTAATGCTATAGTGTTCCTTTAATTGATCCCAGAAGCACCATTGTAATGTATGCATATTCAGATGACTCCAGCCCTCTTGTTTCATATTCAGCAGGTGCCCAATTCCAGGGCCCATTTGCTCTGCAAAGAACCTCAGGAGAAGGATTTCCTGAGCTAATGTGTTAGTCTCATAAGAGCAAACATTAAGTTGCTAGGATGGAACCTGCCAAAATAGGGGCACTTGGCGTTTTGGCAGGTTTATGCAATGTAAGATTATATATTGTAACTAAATGCCTATTATTCGTGCCTGAGTCAGGTGTTTAGACAACAGCAACAAACAAAATTATTACATTTTGTGAACTTTAAGAGGTTTTTATACATGTAATGATTGTATGGGGGTGCAAAATAGCTATCAAAAAGAGAGAAAACAGATGAGTTTTAGATCCACTGTCACAAGGAAAGATTATTCTTTTAAATAACACATGAAGTGTAAAAGGAACTTACCTTTTTACATGTGGCAGTATATGGAACGCAAATATTTTTTGTAAATTTTTAGCATTCATTATTTTTACTATTAATTTTCATTATTATATTTCAATTTCTATTAATATTGGTCTACTTAAGTAAATACATAAATACATTTTTGAAATTTACACATGGGAGTTTTGTGTAGGCAATCGGCCCCTGTTTCTATATCTTTCTGATTTTTTGTGATGTCAGGAATCCAGGGGAAAGTGAGAAGCTGTATTGGGAACCCGCTATAGGAGAGAGGGTTGAAGTCTCATTTTGTGGTTGCGGCTGTTGGTGTTATAGTGTAACTTTCAGATACTTTGTATTAGGACATTAACCGCTAATGTTTCACATCTTATGCCTATGATCTCACTATATATTCAGAATTCTGGAATTGCTAATTTTTACATTTATTTTTAATACTCAAATCTTAACAATATTTCTGGATACCTGAATGTCATCTTCATCTGTCTATTCAAGAATCGGATTGACCTGCTGTGTTGTATCCAACGTTCTCCTGAAGAATGCTTGCTTTAGAGGCACGTAGCCACTCTCCATTTGTGAGTTTTAAACAGGAATTGTGCTATTTATGGCTTTTGAGTAGATACAATATTGCACTATTTTTATATGGGTTTTTTTAGGAATTGATATTCTTTTTGGAATTATATACCTTTTGGCTATAACTATTTTCCACATAGTGTTGGGCACCCTTTTCTTTCTTTTTTGTTATCTTATAATTGTGTGATTTCAAAATGTATGACACATTTTGGTGCTGCATGTGAGGTAATGTATGGTTTCTCTTTAGACTGGGTTTTTATTATCTAATATTGGTTACTGTCAAATAGTTCAGTAACAATCACAAAATTTTAGCACCTAACACTCACCTTTGTTTTTGTTTGTTAATTTTAAGAGCTTTGTTTGAAATTGGTGTTTAATGAGTAAGTGCACTGGTTCTTGTATGATACAAATAAGAATTCTGTGGCCTGATTGACATTATCACTAGAGCAGAGAAACACTGATTAACTTGCCATAAAAAATCACACATTTACCTACTTATCTATCATCTTACCTGTCATCAGAGCAATAGTATATCCAAGCAGTTTGTGAAATGCTAAATTATTATCAAGTTGTTTCCTGATTGAGCGCTGACAGCACTGAAAAAAATCAAAAAAATAAATCACACCAATATAGTCACATACAATATATTATATATATAAATATTCAAAAAGCCAACAAAACATTCCATGTGATACAATTTCCACTCACCGAGCAGGTGCCTCGCAAAAATGACAAAAGATTCCGACACACAGGTAACAGGATGAGAAGACAGTTGAAGTTGAGACAAGCAGCTGAACCACGAGCCCAAGCCAGAGCGGACTAAGAAAATACACATATAAAAATAGGTTAAAGGTTACTCTTATTTATTCTTAACTTTTATTTTTGTGTATTCTACAGCTAATCATTCTTCAACATAAATCAGAAGATCTGGCATTAAAGACAACATTAGAAATCTCAAGGAGTATTGTAAACACTACCCCTTAATATCTATAGATATGCAAGCTATTGCAGCAACAATAATCAATAATAAACCTGTATTCCTAACGCCTTAGTGTCCCTGTCCCTACGTTTAGTCAGGTCCCCCTTCAGTGGGCAGTAAAAATTTAAGGAAATAAGTTTCACTTACCTTTTTCCAGCGCAGAAGCTTTTATCTCCTCCTTCTGCAATGTCACAGAGGAGGTGTGGCCTCTTAGAGACCTGATATGTATGTGCGAAGAGTGCATCCAAGCGTAATTATAAGAATATATTGAATCAATGCTTTTTAGTAGGTCAGTGATGCGGGACCACCTCTAGTGGCTGTCAGGAAAACAGCAACTAGAGGAGGATTGAACCTTGTTTTACATTGCAGGGTTAAAAGCACAGGACCACTGCACCCAAGTCTGGGTGACCTTATGTTTCCTTTAAAGAAAATGTGACAAAGCAAGCATATATATATATTGTGTAATAAGAGAACTGAATAATTTAACAACATAATTAGACTCTCCCAGTTCAGACAGGAAATTGCAATACTTTTTGTGATTTACGAGAAAACTCATTAAATTGTAATTCTTGTCAAATATGTTTTTTTTTTTTAACAAATGAAACAATAATAATAATCAACATTTGTCAAGATCACATAAATGAATGTAAACTCATTAATAAAAAAATTAAAAAATTAAAAAAAAATCAATAAAGTAATCCATCCAAGAAAAACATCCATCTATTATGGGATTGGCAATAGCATTATTATATTAAGCAATATACCGGTACAAACAAGGTGTATCAAAGTATTGTAAAACAAACCCGTTTGCATGGGTTGGCAATTAATATCAAATGGAATATCAAATGGAAATGGAGACACATCTGGGTGAGGAAAACCATTGGACATCTTGTTACATTTGGTTACATTCGGTTACATGTTACTTTGCTGTATAAATTCTGTGAAGCCTCAATCTTGCCACAGAATGCTGTCTGATGCAACCCTGTGTGTTATTCTGCCTTACACAAACATAAAGAAATAAAAATTAATTAAAATTTTATTAAAATGACACTGCCTCCCCCCCCCCCCACCCATGACAAAAGTGCAAAAATGGGGAGGAACAATTCTCCCTCTGACCCCCACCCTTTGGCGGTGGGTGGGGGCCCTAAGTGACAATAAAAGGGGGGGGGGGCAGAGGCTGCTCAATGTTTAGTAGACATGCCCATACTCACAGCATAGTGAGTAGGGGTATTAGGGAGGTTTTAATCTCCCTTATACTAATATGGAGGTCATATCGACCCTGATAGAATGATAGGGGACATGGGGGATTTAGGAAGTAGCAGCAAGCCGCTTCTATTTTTACATATTACAAGGAGGGAGCTTTGGGTCGGTAGATCCCTCCTTGTGATAAAGTAAACGAACAAAGACGAATTGAAATTTGGTCTTCGTTTGTTCTTTGTCACTTCTTTTCATTCATTTGTCTTTCTGACAAATTAACGAACAGCTGAAATTCCAGTCCAAATTTCGGACAACAGCGAATGCCCAAGTGTACAACTGGGCATGCATGGGAGTTTCACAGTTCTATCTAGTGTGGGCAGATGACATGCCCCACAGGGCCTTCATCTGCCCACAATAAGATGGCTGCACCTAGGACCTCGGTCTGGGCAAGAAATAAAGCTTTTTTTTTTTTTTAAAGGTAAAAAAATGGCAGTGCTGCTTTAAGAAGCAGTTTCTAACTTGGAAAGTGAAAATCAGACCCTAGACAGAAAGTCTGTGGTGAGTTGGCACATGGAAAACCTTTAATTTACTATCCATAACTTCCCAACTCTGACAACTGGAGTAAAGTATGATTTCATTTCATTCCATGTGTGTCACTGCATTACTTACCCCCAATAGCACTCTTGTATATGCATATTGTTCTCCTTTCTCAAAGAGCATGTAGTAATATGCAAATATGAAGATGTTCAGTCCCAACCAGGCAGCCTGTTGAAGAGAAGGGAATATTGATGATTAGTAAGGGAAAGTTGCAAATAGAGAATGGTTTAACCCCTTAAGGACACATGTTTGACATGTCACGATTCCCTTTTATTCCAGAAGTTTGGTCCTTAAGGGGTTAAGGTAACTAGTAAATGAAAACAAGTAAATAAGAAATCACTTGCCTTAGCTAATAAGGGTTCCATTGTACACCATATATATTTAGTAGGAAAGACTCTGCATTAGGCCATGCCAAATTACCAGAGGAGCCTGAATGGTGATATTCTTACACTCAAACCAAATATAGTTGTTGTTTTTTTGTTTTTTTTACGATCTCTTCCTCCTCTTTGAGGAACCAAGAGCAAGCATTTTGGCTATCCACTTTGTATACAACTTTGCTCTTTGGGATTCTCTCCACTTAGGTCTGTGCCAGACAGGTTCGGTGTTCTGTTTTATCCACATTTACATGAGGAAGATAAGTCCATTCCCCTGGAATTGTATAACTTGGTAGTTCCCAAACTTTTGAGGTTCAAGGCGTCCTTTAAGGGACACTCCAGGCAACCAGACCACTTCTGCCCATTGGCGTGGTCTGCGTTCCAACTCCCACCACCCTTAACCCTGCAAGTGTAATTAGTGCAGTTTTTATAAACTGCAATAATTACTTTGCAGGGTTAAGTCCTCCTCTAGTGGCTGTCTATCAGACAGCCACTAGAGGGATTCCGTGTTCTTAGAACACGAAATGTGTTTGAAACGATGCTGGACGTCCTCACGCTATGTATGAGGACATCAAGGGTCGCCAGAATTCCCATAGTAAAGCATTGAATAATGCTTTCCTATGGGGAGGTCTAATGCGCGCTTGCGGCCATTGCCTCACATGTGCATTAGGTCTCCCCTCGACGGCTGATGTCGGCAGGGGGAGGAGCGTGGGCAGAGCCTGACCCAGTGCCGAGGGACATCGGCACTGGATTCAGGTAAGTCGTTGAAGGGGTTTTAACCCCTTCAGCAACATAAGAAGGGGGGTGGGAGGGAGAGGGGCACTGCAGGGTCCTGCTGTGCCAGGAAAACGGATATGTTTTCCTGGCACTGGAGAGTCCCTTTAATATTTCAGTATTTTTCCAAGGCACCCCAAGTCAGCATTTCTACGTTGTATATCTGTACAGCGCTGTTGCATTTCCTGGCGCTATAGTGTAATGTACAGTGTTGGTGTTTGAAGGGATACTTGTATACATTCATTGTATGTTAATACAGGGGTGTGTTTGTATGTGATGTTTGCGTTTGATTGCAGGGGTGTGTCTCAATGTATTGTTCACTTTTAAATGTGGATGTAGATTTCTGGGAAGTATTTGTGTTTGAGTTAAGGGGTGTGTTTGCATATTTTTTTGTTTGAATGCAGGGGTGTGTTTGTATGTAATATTTGTGTTAGATTGCAGGAGTGTGCTTTTATGTTGTGCTGGTGTTTGACTGCTTTGATGTATGCACATAAACTACCACATACATACTTACACAGATATTCATGCACATTAACACACAGATGCATATAAATACACTGACACATACACACAAATTCATATAGACACCGACACATACACACTTATAGATACACACAGACACATACACACACATGCACCCTCACTTATCCACATACAAACACTCACACTCATACACACAAACTCATACACACACACAAACACATACACTCACACTCATACACACACTCATAGTCATACACACACACACACACTCATACACTCACACACATGCACACACTCACATACAAGTGATTCTTTTTGTATCTCCAGCCACCATCCTGTAAGCTTACCTTATGTGCCAGGATGGTGGCTTGGAGTCCTGCTGCTGTGGGAGTGAGAGGTCTCAAGCTCTTTGTGCTCCTCTCCCTCCCGCGCTGTCTCCATGCAGGATGCTTGGAGGAAGTGACAGGCTGTCACTTCTTCACAGCCGGCCAACATTACAGGGACCCAGTCACGGTCTTAAAGGATTGCAGCACTTGACCTGCTCTCTGATGAGCAGTAATCATACGGCGCTGCGGCACACACAGGGCCGGCGCGTCCATAAGGCGGCACAGGCGGCCGCCTTAGGGCGCACGGGCTCTGGGGGCGCAATATTTCAGTGACCGGCAGGAGGGAAGCTCTCCCTCCTGCCAGGCCACCATCTCGACCCCCGGCGCGGCAGTGCTGTGAACAGGCGCGGCGAGGGAGCTCTAATCTCCACCCTCTGCTCCCTCGCGCGCTGCCTGCTGATGCCGCGGGAGCCGGAATATGACGTCATCAACCCGGCTCCCGCGGCATCAGTAGGCAGCCCGCAAGGGAGCAGAGGGTGGAGATTAGAGCTCCCTCGCCGCGCCTGTTCACAGCACTGCCGCACGCCTCCCAGCAGCCCCAGGGACCGATCCATAATCCACACCAGCTCTCCAGGTAGGGAGGCTGGGTGGAAAATATGTATTTATAAAATAATTAGTGAATGCATGTGATGTGTGTCTGTGAGTGACTGTGTGTGTGTGTGTGTCTGTGAGTGTGTGTGTGTGTGTCTGTGAGTGACTGTGTGTGTGTGTCTGTGAGTGACAGTGTGTGTGTGTGTGTCTGTGAGTGACAGTGTGTGTGTCTGTGAGTGACAGTGTGTGTCTGTGAGTGTGTGTGTGTCTGTGAGTGACAGTGTGTGTGTCTGTGAGTGACTGTGTGTGTGTGTCTGTGAGTGACAGTGTGTGTCTGTGTGTGTGTGTCTGTGAGTGACAGTGTGAGTGACAGTGTGTGTCTGTGAGTGACTGTGTGTGTGTGTCTGTGAGTGACAGTGTGTGTGTCTGTGAGTGACAGTGTGTGTGTGTCTGTGAGTGACAGGGTGTGTGTCTGTGAGTGACTGGGTGTGTGTCTGTGAGTGACTGTGTGTGTCTGTGAGTGACAGTGTGTGTGTCTGTGAGTGTGTGTCTGTGTCTGTGAGTGACAGTGTGTGTGTGTCTGTGAGTGACAGAGTGTGTGTGTCTGTGAGCGACAGTGTGTGTGTGAGTGACAAAGTGTGTGCGTCTGTGAGTGACAGTGTGTGTGAGTGACAAAGTGTGTGCGTCTGTGAGTGACAGTGTGTGTGAGTGACAAAGTGTGTACGTCTGTGAGTGACAGTGTGTGTGAGTGACAAAGTGTGTACGTCTGTGAGTGTAAGTGACAAAGTGTGTGTAAGTGACAAAGTGTGTGTGTCTGTGAGTGACAGTGTGTGTGTCTGTGAGTGATTGTATGAGTGTGTGTGCGAGTGTATGAGTGTGTCTGTCTGTCAAATCAGTGAGAGTATGTTTGTCATTGAGTCTGTGTGTGACTATCAGTGTGTCTGTCAATGAGTGTCAATCAGTGTGGGTCTGTCAGTGTCAATGAATGAGTGTGTGTCAGATCAATGAGTCTGTGTCTGTCAGTGACGTCTGTGTGTTTGTCATTGAGTGTGTGACTGTCAGTGTGTACAGAGTGTAGCGGAGCAGAGCGCGGTACAGGAACTTCTGTTTCCTGTACCTGGCCAGACTGACAGGAGGTGCTCACAGAGAGAGCACTCCCTGTCAGTCCGGCCGGGTACAGAAAACTGAAGCTCCTTTAGGGGATCTGCTCCACTCGGCAATACAACAATAGAGGTAGGAGGCACACCAGGAAGGGGAGTGTGACCACTAAAGGGGTGTGGGGTGCACCAAGGGACAGGGAGGGAATGGGAGAGAAACACCAAGAGACAGGGAAAAGAGGGGGGAGGGGAGAAGAACACTAAGGGAAAGGGAAGGGAAGGGACTACTAATGGTCAGGGAGGGGAGAGGGGCTGGTTAAGATGTTTTTTTTCGGGGGGGGTGCGGGGGGGCGGAAAAAGGCATCTTCGCCTATGTACCTAAAAATCCAAGCACCGGCCCTGGGCACACAGCTTGGGAACCGCTGGTTTAACTGGTTGGCTGAACGATGGTTGTAGTTGTTATGTAATTTGCATGTTTATCTATATTTTCAAGTAATTGTGATTGCAGCCAGAATGTTTTTGGCTTTCAATGTCTATGTTCTCTTCTTTTACAGAGTGACAGTTTATTGCCTTATATTGTTGACTTCCTGTTCTTGCATAATTATTTGTTGAATCAGGGTTCTCCTCTAAAGTGTGCATTGTTGAGGAAATTTCAAATTTTAGACCACAAAAAGCTAAGCGACAAAATGCTCCAACTCAGCTATATTTCCATTTCAGTTCCCTCTTTCCATATATGAACTCTCCATAACCGTTTCAGTTTTTTACTGTTACAGTAGTGATACTAGTTTCATATAGTTGTTTTTTTTTTTATATTAACACTTATATACTTGTCTATGGCTCATTACAAGCTCCAGGAAAAAAGCACAGACAGCACTCTGAGATATATATATATAGTGTAAGCTAATTCAGAGGAATACCACCCTGCAATAAATGGGCTGTTTCAGCTGCCAAAAGTAAAGAATAAACAAAAAAGATGTCCAGCACTCCTTATTGTGAAAAGATGATATCCCTTTATTGACAAAACAGCAATGTATCGACTGTGATAAGTATGTCGTTTCTTGATAAAAACACAAAGTCAAAACAAAGCATGTAGTGATGGTGTTTGATTGCTGGGATGTGTGCACATATACAAACACACTGCTACATACATTATTATTATTTTATTATTTATATAGCGCCAACAAATTCCGTAGCGCTGTACAATGGGATACATACATATTTACATAAATATATACACACTAACACACAGTACTCACATATAAACACACTGACACACAGATACACATACACACACACCCTAACACACAGATACACATACACACTCCCACACAGATATACCCAGTGACACATATACACACTTACACATACATACATGTTATACTTTTTATGTTTTTAACCACACTCCTGTTAACATGCCTTTTATATTCAGGAGGCTGATAGGAGTAAGGATTCTCTCTCTCTTAGTTCTCTCTGTACCTGCAGCCTGTGCCCAGTAGTGTATTTAGGTTTTGTGCTGCTCTAGGCAGGACAGTGCTCGAGCACCCCCCTAATTTAAATTTTCCCCACCCCTTCCTGTCAAGGCCGCACTTTGACTGACAGACGCTCACTCACTGACAGACACACACTCACTGACAGACACACACTCATACACACTGACAAACAATGACATACACACACTCACTGATTTGACACATTGATAGACAGACATACACTTACTCGGACACACACTCACTGACAGACTCACTGACAGACGCACACTCTCACTGACAGACGCACGCACTGACTGACAGACGCATGCACTGACTGACAGACACACACACACTCACTCAAATTCACTGACACACATTCACTGAAACACACACACTCATTGACAGACACACACACTCACTGAAACACACACACACACTCACTGACAGACACTCACACTCACTCACATTCACTGACACAAATTAACTCACTCACATTCACTGACACACACATTCACTCACACACACACACACACACACACACACACACATTCACTGACACTCACATTCACTGACACACACTCAATCACATTCACTGACACACACATTTCCCCACACTCACTATTATTATTATTATTATTATTATTATTATTTTTTAAATTGAAATCCACCCAGCCTCCCTACATTTGGGATAGCTGGGTGGATTTCTCACCTGGGGTCCAGTGGGGCTGCTGGGTAGGGAGGCGGCCAGATGTGCAGTTTCCAGCAAGGGAGCACTTTCCCCTGAGTTCTCTGCTCAGCTCCCTCGCGCGCTGCAGACGTCATATTCTGGCACCCGGCATCACCCTGCAGCGCGAGAGGGAGCTGAGCAGAGAGCTCAGGGGAAAGTGCTCCCTTGCTGCCTGCCCGAGAAACAACCGCCTGCTGCCCCGGGGAAGCCCAAAGGTGGTCAGCTGGCCAGCTCTTGGGCTCCCATAAAACGATGCAAACAAGGTATTAGCCTGGGCATTTGGGGGAGGTGTTTTTTGCCACCCCCTGGAAATTGCCGCCCAAGGCAAATCCCTTGTTTGCCTCGAGGTAGACACATCCCTGCCTCCGCCCCTTCCTTTTATCTCCCTCCCACACACTTCCTCCCAGGCTGCTGATACTACAGGAATCCAGTCACACTGTTAAAGAGCCACAGCTACCATCCGTGCCCCTGTTCAGTAATACCCACTGTGTGGCTCTATATGCATGGGCCACCCAATGAGCTCCCTCCAGCATGCTGGGTAGAAGGGCACGTGCCTATAAAAGTAGGATTCTCTACAGGTTGTTTCTCTCCTCTTTTTGTGTTTGCATATTGTATCCAGGGCTTATATACACTATTTTATCTCACACAAGGATAAAGGTTGCACCATGTTTGAGATACTGTAGGATTTTTAAAAAATTTTTTAAATGTACACAGGTTAAAATATACTTTCTGGTCACTAATCATATCTAGCAAGTAGTTGGTTAGTTGGCAAACAAGCAGAGAAGATATTGAGGAAATTTCGTATGCGTATGAGACCAGGGTTAGGAGAGCTGTAGAATGATTAGATTGTTTGATTGTTGTGTTTTACTGTATGCACCTAGACCACACTTCTTGTAAAGTCATCTGATCATTATCACACAAAATAATTACATCCAAAGTAATAATTAACTAATCTGTCATCATATTGGCACTTTTACAAATATGTTTCCGTAATTACACACTACAAAGCGTTTTTGTCTATTCACTATTTGTCGATGTAAGTGAGTATTTGCTCTGTTTGTGAGTATGGGCAAGATGAAGGGGCTCTAGGGTTATTACTAGGTTATCTGGCCCCCTATGATCATCACCAGTACCATCTTTAGGACATTTTAGATATACTTGAATACATCAATTTTAATGAGATAACTAAGCCTGATTCTGTTGATTTCAGTAGGAATGCTTTGCATATGCCATAGATGTTTTCCCATCTAGTGTCAATAAGATATTTAGTCTGTAATTTTCTTAAGTTATGAAAATACAGCGCGGATTCTACCTCAAAATCAGGTCAAGTATATTATAAGACTGTATGAAATAAGCAGGCTTAAAAACAACCTTTTAGGAGAACCGCTCCATTGTTCAATGATGTGCATAGTACTACTGTCATGCCTTCTACTGGCCAGCCCATCCTCCATTCCTAATATCGGGAGATTAAACAAAATGATGTCATTCATTTATTACCTGTAGCTGTGCTTTGCGTTTGAGTGGCTGTTGTTTCTCTTAAACACTTTCATAAAGAATCTGTATTGCATGTCATAAATGAACACAGTATACAAGGTCTTCTAAGAGTAACACATGACATCAAATGTGTTTTAGACAAACGACTGATTGATTTTTGCTGAAGGAAAGCAGGCAAACAGGCTTATCTGTTGTCCTCCCTACAGGAGTCTGCCAGTTGCACACAATAATAAATATGAATAATCTCATTACAGAGAGTACACTATTTGGCAATCAAGCAGTGGTCTTGTTGGCTGCCTAGCTATTGGAGTGCTGCTACTCAGAGTAAATACTGTACTCTGTTGTATATGTTAGGGAGGCAGTTACAAAGATGGGAAAACAGTAACACACACAGGGTTAGTCACTAAACTTTGGATTTTGTCTGGATGGTTAAAATGACCTAATTCTGATTGCAACGGCATTTCAAATATTTACTCAAGCCAAATAGGTCAATAATCAGTCAAGCCGAGTGAAATTGCAGCATTTGCCCTGAAGCATTTGATGTCTGGATTAAAATCCAATGCAAAACATAGGATTTGGAATATTCATAAAACATTAATTTTACTGAAATTCTGGATCTACTGCATCCGGTTAATTATGTAGTGTGTGGCACTGGCTTGCTAGCCACATGAATAAAAGTTAAAAAATAAGTAAAAATAAAATCCCCTGTGAGGGTCAATCAGACCTACATATTACTATAGGGGAGGTTTTATATCTCCCTATGCCCCCACCTGCCTCATAGCTGCTAAATGTTTAAAGCTAGCAACCGGGCTGCACAGTCGCTAGATAGACGCAGCCCATGGGTATGGAACCTGTTAAATAAAGAGGGACATAGTCCCAGCCACAGGCATTGGGTGGGGGATTTTAAATTAAATAATGGAATGTGAACAGATAACTGTCGACCCCTATGCCCCACCAGTGGAGTCTACAAAATTTACAAAATGGTGGGTGGGGGGAAGTTCTGTATTTCCCCCTCTGTCCCACTCATGTTCAGCAGATGATGGCTACTTACAATGTTCCTTGCACCCACACCTTAGCAGCAGTTGGCAGCTATTGCAATAATAAGGGGGGCGGGTATAATGTCCCTATACATTAGCAGGAATATACAACAGACAACAGGCCACCCACCAAGACTGGAAGAAAGGTGTTTTTGCTCATAGCAGATGAACATAAGGACAATAAAGATGCATAATTTTTGTGACAGATCCCTCTGTCTTGGAACTACATGGCTATCCCGTTTAATTCGTGTGGATTTGTATAATTTCCTCTCCGTACTTCCCCGTTCATTTATTTTTGTAATCTACCGAACAAACTGCCGAACGGCCGGCCACCTAGAAGAGAAATGTGCTGCTGGTTAACCTATTGGCCTCAATTAGAACATTGTGGTTAACCGCAGACACCTCTTCATTGAAACCGTATGCTGGGTCTTCGTCATTCGTATGCCGACCACGAGGCGGCGGCCATCTTGGACGCACGAATGAACAGCGGTGTTCGACGACAATCTTATGGAACCCAAAACGGACACTTAATCTCCCGAACACCGCTGAAACCGCCGACCTCCCTTCTTTGTCATCTGCCATACGAACGCTGGTCCGTTTGGGACTTGTTATTTTACGAATGGATTAAATATAACAAATATTCTGTGGTATAAGGCGCTTAAAAAGATAAAGTTGCTCAAAAAATAGGAACAAGTGTCAAATTAGTGCAAGTGTGTAGCGCTAGAAATAAGTTACTCACTCCCAAAATTATGGTGGAGATATAGAATAAGTACAAATCACTGTAAAGAAAAAGGGAAGAATATATAGTGCAACACTGTTAGATTTAAAGATGGAGAAATATATTCCAATTGGAAGCACTCACGTGGTTTAGAGCCTACTATGGATTGGCTCTAATCACTTGCGCCGTCGTGCACTTCTGATGGCACATACCCTATAGATCCATATGGAAGGTACTTCTCAAAGGCATGTGAATAGAAAAAAAGAAAAACAGGGAAACTTGTCCTGGTGTAGAGATCCTTAATCAAATATATTACAGTACAAACATATAGGTTGCTTCTCACCTTTAAAAGAGCCTGTCACTTGGCTCTAAGTATACAGTTATATGAGTACAATTATAGGGTGACTCTACCCTTATTGTAGCAGGTTAAATGATCCACCAGTTGATGTATTAAAAGAATTATATTTATTCTATCAAAAGTTAGTGAATATAAAAACAATTATAGTACATACATAGTGGTGGTGTATCCAAAATGCGTTTCGCCGATTCCCTTTGGCTTTTTCAATTGGTAATTTACTTCCTGCTTCTTTACAATTATATTTCCCTGTCTAAACATTGATTGGTTGTAGGAGATCGTGATATAGCCAATCACAGATGCTCCTGTGTAAAGGGGGTGTGTAATTTGTCGTAATCTATCCCATAGTAATGACGTCATCACGCATGCACGCGCGTGTGCACGACTTCACTTCCGGGAACCTGGGAGATGTGTATTCCTCCCTTGTATAGTGTAAGTCTGGTTAAATCTTCCAAAGGGCGGCGGGTTTTTCATCATAATTCTCCATATATCCAGGGTGTCCCATCAACGAATGGACTTAACCCAGATAGCCATCCCATGGAGCCCTTCGTATACCGAAAGAACAATGTGAAAGACTTTGACTCCATGGCGATTGAACTGTGTGTATTGGATCTGTGCGTCATTCAGTAATAATGTGTGCTCAGATCTAGGCTATCTGGGGATACGTTACATGTACTGAATACATTCAGTAGTTTTACAGTTATTGAATTTTATGTATTTTTATTGTATCCTGTAAAATGGCGTTTTGCCTCTATCCATGGAGATAATTGGATTTCTTCCCAATTATCTCCAGGATAGAGAGGAGGGGTTTACTTGTACAAAGGGGAGTGTTTATGCCTGAGCCACTGTGATTGGCTACTATACTATACTGGTCCCAGTCTTCCATCTGGTCCCCTAGGGGAGTGCCCACCAGGTGGGAGACCTGCATAAATACCGGGCATGTAGCCCTCAATAAATCAGATTCCTGTTTTACCCTCAAGACGGAGCTTGGTCCCGTGTTTGGGGGGATTGCTACTTTGAATTATTCTTTTGCCTGTTTCAGGAGAGAAGGACTTTGTCTGATTCTCTATTCGGGAAATTGGAGTATTAGAGAGTTGCTGGTCCCGTATCAAGGAGAAAAGGATTTCGTGTATTTTCCCAGTTCGGTGAATTGAAGCGGTCGTATCAAGGTGAATCCCTCATTCGGTATTAACCCTCGATACCCGGGTTATACTGTAACAATTTTCTACCCAAAAGCCTGGATTTTGGGGGGAAAATCAGAATATTCATGGATATAGTTAAAATGTATGTGAACATTGTACAGCGCTACGGAATTTGCTGGCGCTACATAAATAATAAAATAATAACAGGGTGCTGATTCAAAGAGAAATCTAATGCGTCAAGAAGGATTTTCTAAATTTTTGTGGCAAAATTGTCCATCACATCAGATTGTTTCTTTTTTTTGTTTTTTTGCTATCTTTTAGATCAGTAGCATAAAAAAATTGTTTTAAAGGTTGAACTCAATGCACTTGAGTATTTTTTTCCAAGCTAGATTACTGTGTAATTATATGTGCAAGCTGGAACGTCAAGGCATAGATTCATTTTGCCTAGGTTGAAATTTGGGTTAGGAATCAATAAAAACTAAATTAAAAAAATAATAATAAAGATATTTGCGTTTGCTAAAACGTTTGCATTGAGTTCTGCTGAGCCTGGAAATCACATCAGCCTGCCACAGTGTTCCATGATTTTCCATAGAAAGTCAGAGTTTTTCCATATATCCCTGCTTAGCAGGTATTAAAGGCACAGGACTCTAGGAGATGTTGCATATGTTCCCACTTTGGAAAGCTGAGGGCTAAATTACAACTCCCAGACAACCTTGCACTGCAGCCTGCCAAGTTTAACCCCTTAAGGACACATGACATGTGTGACATGTCATGATTCTCTTTTATTCCAGAAGTTTGGTCCTTAAGGGGTTAAATACTAACCTGTATGGGCAGAATCCCTGTCACATGACAGAGTAAGGGACGGAATTATAGTAACAGTAATTATTGCACAATGATGTCATTAAACATTGTTCTACTGTGAGTTCATGAAGACAGGATAGGGGGACCTCCTAGTGCTGTAAGCTGTATATTTTAAGCATATATTGTTAGGAATTTTTAACTGACCCTTTAACCCCTTAAGGACACATGACATGTGTAACATGTCATGATTCCCTTTTATTTCAGAAGTTTGGTCCTTAAGGGGTTAATGAAATCAGCTGGTAGATCCATGTTCATTCTCCCTTAGGTGGTGCTTTCTATGATAAGCATTCTCTGAAGTGTAGAAGAGTTCTAAAAATGGTTATAAACCTCATCGACATATACAAGTAAATAATACATATCACTGTCTCACCATTTACTTAACTTGAGCTACTAACAGGTGTATGCTAGCAATGTAGCTCTGGCTGTTTTACCAGAATCCTGGCTAACGTGAGGTTAAGCATGGATGGAATAGCATTCTTTCAAATGCAAGAGTGAGATCTTTAAAACATTCAAACATTTAAGTTTAAAATAATAATAAAAGTCACATTCATTCAGAAGGTAGTAGTTAATTTACTTCACAAAATTATGCATGAACAAATGATGAAAGATGTAGACTACCCAGATAGTTTGATGTGCCCAACATATATGTACATTAAATATTCAGTACATGCATTAGAGATACCAGCTCAAAAATACATATATGACTTTTTTCTAGAAATAGTGATTGTTATGGTGAATAGAAGAGTAGGCTTTATTCTTAGTGAATTTGAAAAGCTTCTGAAATGTCATTCCAACAGTTGCTTTTTGTATGATTTTAGTTATTTTGCTCGACAGGTAAAATTTTGTCAATTCATGTAAATGCACAAGGCAACTATCAGTTGCAAAATAATGTGTCTAAAAGAATTGTAGAGAAATTAAAACTGAATTTCGAAACATAGGTTAAAAAAGCTGATTTGGAGAACACTCTTCAGTTTAGCCATGGTCGGTCACAGCATGGCTCCTTTAACCTAAATTGTAGCATTTAGATTGCAAGTTAATTCAGTTTGAAACTTAGTTTTAAGATGTGTTTATCCGAAATGATAAAATCTTTCTAAATTGAGAATAAATGTTTACAGTTAAAAAAATATACTGGTTATTTGATTAGTAGATCACTACAAGAGCTAAACACACAAAAAAATAGTAATTTTTAAATTTAATGGGGTTTTTTTTTGCACACATGCTTCTCAAGATATTATATATCACCAAATTATCTATGCTTCCAGTTCAGCTACTTTGTCCTTGAAGATAAAATTCAATTAAAATTCTCACTTTCGTGAATAACCCTGACAGTATTATACACAACAGATATTTGTATAATTTATGTATCAATAAAACAAACATTTCAATTATATATAAAACACATTGACTATAATTTGTGATTGATAACCATAAGATTTATACAGCAGAATTCAGTAGGTTTTCAATGAGGGCATTAGTAGTTAAGGGATATAGCAGCTTGGGGATGATTAAAAGGAATAAGGGGGCAAAAGGGGAGCAATCCCTAGTAAAAGAAAATGCTTGTTTTTGCTAGGGATGCTCCCCTTTTGCACCCTTATCCCTTTTAATCAACCCCGGGCTGCTATATCCCTTAACTACAAATGCCCTCATTGCACTATTCACGTTTAGCTGGTGGCGGCCATCTTGGTGTCCCCAAGGAACATGTCCCGGTGGCCATCTTGGTGCCCCCTCTTAAAGCCATCTCATTATTTTTAACTTCTCTTATCTTATAATAAAAAATGCTTTTCTTTAAATTTTTATTGTTATATTATGAAGATCCTAAGTACATATGTGATATATTATTATTCCACCTACGCTTCCTATACTGAGCAATATTCCTTTTGCTTCCCACTTGTGAGTATACCGCCACTTTTTTATCCTAGTTTTATTCCAGACTATACAGACAGCACTATATTGTGTTTTTATTTCTCCTCCTATACACTGAGGATACAGATTTTTGGCACTGATACCAGAACACCCTGACCCCGAAGAAGCCTCTGAGAGAACACCAGGACCATCATCACATCCTTAGACGGGGATTATACCATCCAGGCGCATATATCTGGAGTTGAATATAAGCTCCAGAAAATTGTAAGTGCAATTTTTTCTTCATTTATCATTATCAAGCAATTTAACATACTACACTATATCCATGTCTTCTCCTCTCTTCCCTATATTTCACTGAGCTTGAGAACACTACTACAGGCGCTGTTTCCTGACATTACCTTCTATAGCAAACAAGTGTATCTTAAATTAAAGCTAATAAGCTCAAATACCCGTGGTTAGTTTCTTTTCTTTCAATTCTGTGTAGATTTCTTGCAGTGCTGTAAAATGTTTTGCTATTTTCAGCAGTGTAACCCCTCCTTCTTAGTCACCCCTCTCACATTTCAACATGTTCCTGATTTCCAGTCTCTTTCAAACGTTCCCTATTAAAGGAGCAGACTTTAAAGGCCTACAAGCAGCTATTGATGAATTAATCTGGAAGGCTCGGAGACATGGGTCTAGCCATGTATGTTTGTAAGACCCATGGGGGTTTTGGACTCCCCACTTTCATACACTATAATGTGGCCCAGCTTTCTCAGATCAAGCAGTGGTACACACTACCAGGTTTGCAAACACTGGGTGGATCTGAAGCATCCTAACTATCCATCTTTATATATGTGAGTCCCCTATATGCATAAACCCCTTCCTTCGACCACATCCACAACTATCACTCACTTACTCAAATTACAATTTGAGCTCTCTTCATTCCTCTTCTCCCCTCACACCAATAAGAAATGTTTCCACCTGGTTTATTATCACTTCATTTTGCTCACTATGAAGATAGGGACATTAGAAGGCTGATGTACCTCTATTTCAAATCATAGAATACTCAAACCTTCCCAATCATGAGGAACCTGCCACATGAGACTTCTTTTGCTTCATACGATTACTTGACTTAGCCGCAACCCCAATAGTTAAACAAGCAGGCACGGTCCAACCTACTACTTTTGAACGACTTGGCCTCATAGCACCAGTCCAATTTCAACATTATACATCATGCTAACAACACATCCCTCACAAATTGTACTACCACACATAGAAGCACAGGAACATGACTTAAGTTCCCCTGATGAGTAAAGTAGCTGGTCAGAGATTTAGGAGGAAATAGGTAAATTAATCATTTGTATCACACATAAGGAACAAGCATACAAGATTCTCTTTAGATGATATCTTACCCCCAGCAGACTTCACAGAATGGGAACAATTCCAACAGACCTTTGTTGGAAAAAGTGTGGGGAGACAGAAACCTTCTTTCACTATTGAGGACAAAATTGAAAATCTTCTGGTCCCAGATACAAGTACTACTCACGCAAGTGATGAGAAAACCTTTTTGAAACTGAATGACACCCCTAAAATTTTCCACAAAGGCTAGGACCCCTGCCTCTCATGTGAAATATAGGCCCTTCCCTAGAAGCCCATGTCATTTAATTCTTCCTATAGACATGGATATAATTATATTTTAAAGCATTTTGATTTTCAATTTAACAATTCCCTTTCTATATATTCCTCTCTCAGGGACTTGGGGAAATCACGACTCGTTCTATACTTTCCTCCTTTTGTACTTCTCTAATGCCCTTCTTTTCTCTTTCTCACAACTCACACTCTTCACACTCACATGTAAATCACAGATCATTTACCCGTAGAATCTTCACCTTCCCCTATTCACCGTGTTGAAACCTGAGCATAAATCTAAACATATCTACCTAAGAAGGTAGGCTCTACAGACATATTATCCCTTAATAGTGAACACATGGGGTAAGTGGCAGCATTGTAACAAGGCTGTGTAATACAGAAGCAAAAACAATTTAAGCCCTTTGCTCAAACTCCCACTACTCCTGGGCAGCAGCAATGACCATAGTATAGCCCCAATACATACAGTCAAAACCGAAGAAAATAGTTACTTGCACACTACACCAACTCCCTATGCACATTTAAATAACTGTAGTTTTTTTTTAGTATCACTCCAATAACCATTAAATTGTAACCTGCCAAATCAAGTATTATACTTGCCATGTCAAGTACTATAGTCTCTGCTGCCGCCCTGGAGGAGTGGGAGTTTGAGCGCGTGGCTTAGTTTTGTATGTTTGTATTTGTAATTGTATTACACAGCCATGTTACAGTTTTGCCACCCACCCCAAAGTGTGTAGGGGTTTAACAAAAATACCCCTCTCTGTCTCACTAGAGATTATTAGTGTAGGACTTACCAAAAAGGTTTTGCGTTGAAGTGGCAGGTGAGCTTACACTTTATTGGCCATTGGAGTGATACTAAAAACCTCCAGTGATTTAAATGTGCATAGGGATTTGGGATAATGCGCAAGTAACTCTATTCTTTGGTTTTGACTGTATCTATTGGGGCTGTATGATGGTCACTGCTGCTGCCCAGAAGTAGTGGGAGTTTAAGCGCAGGGCTTCATTTGTATTTGCTTTTGTATTACAAAGCTTTATTGCAATGTTGCCACTCACATCATGTGGTCACTATTAAGAGATAATAAGTATGTAGGGCTTTACAAAAATACCTCTCTCTGTCTCATTAGAGATTTTGCCTTTTGGATGAAAACAGCAAGGTGAATTGTTAGTGTAGGACTCACCTAGGAGGTTTTGCATAGATGTGGCATGTGAGCTTACACTTAAATGGCCAATGGAGTGATCCTAAAAAAAGCCCTTTAGTTATTTAAATGTGGATAGGGATTTGGGACAGTGCACAAGTAACTTTTTTCTTTGGTTTATATTGTATGTATTGGGGATGGTGTATACTATAGTCATTGCTGCCACCCAGGAGTAGTGGGGCTTTGAGTGCAGGGCTTAATTTTGTGTGTTTTTATAAACATACCTGCCTGGTCACCAACATGTAGACATGAAATTTGTTACTTCTGAATATTCCTAGACATCTAATACATGTTCTTCCTCCTTCACCCATTATCACCTACCACTTTACAAAAGAACTTGCACAGATCACCATTCTGTTAAAAGAATTTAGGTTTGGGCAGTTCCAGTTCACCAACAATGCTTGGCGTGTACAGAACGACAAAAGGTTTCAGTTGAATTTTGCAAGCATAAGCTCACTGATTCTATGTATAATAGGGGGAAAGTTGCCATATCTATTTTTACTTATCCATTTATTGATTATCACCAATTTTAACATAAATGGACAACTCTATGCAGTTTCTGTACGTCTATGACTTCATTTACTGCTCTTTTTGCTGGTTTGTTCTTTATACATGCAACACTTAAAAAAAGAATAAAAAAAGACAAGGCAAAGCCAGGACAAACATTGTTAATAAGAAAAGATGAACAAAAACACGGTTTAATCGCTTCTCTAAACGCTTTTTTTTTTTCTATGCTGTCTGAATAACTACGGATTATAACTACGGTAGGGAGCCAAGATGCGTTTCCAAGGTAAAGAGGTGTGAATGTATATATTCCAATTTATATTTTCAGATCTCACAAATACATATTTGTACAATATATATAAGTAAATATAATACTAAAAATTCTGGTGAGTAACTGTTCATCGTTAAAATACATGTGAGTGACTTTTGCAAAAATGCTGCTTTACTACCTGTTTGCAAATTAACATAGGGTGTGCTACACAAGACATGAGCACAATGATTTTTTTTTTTTTTAAGTGTTGATAAAAAGCAGGCATTTGTACCCAAGTTTACATGCAACACACATACAATAGCTGCGAGTTAAAGAACTCTAAACATTAATATTTGCCTCTAAATACAGAGATGTATCAATTCCTTACCAGTACCACAGCAGAGACCCAGTGGTTAACAATCCAATTTCCCATTGTGTTCTTGTTTTCTTATTCTTCTTTCGTCTCTGTGTTCGCAGATTTCGTTTGGTATTACAGCACCTATGACTTTCTGTTCATTACTCTGTTTGTAAGGAGACACCCAGAGCTCTTAACTCACTTCTAGAACTCATTCCTTTTGTTCCTCCCTTTCTATCTGTCACAGGTAAAATCCCAGTATCAGGAAATAATGTGAATTTATTATTCCCTTACTTCCTTTGAACATATTGCACAATTATGTAAGTGATTAAGCCTCCCTAACATATATATGCATGATGGTTTAGTCTCCCTAAAATATATACAGGTATGTTTTATGGGTAAAATTCCAGCATCAGGAAATAATGTGATTTTTTGTTGTTGTTCCCATACTTTCTTTCTGCTTATTGCATTATCTTACCATTTAGCAAATGGCTTTTCCATTTCTTCAATAAACTAATGGGTCTATTCTCTATATTATTAAGTAAGAGGAATAACAAAAATTTAAGTCCAAGATGGAAAATGTAAAGGTTGAATATTTCTTTTAGATCTTCAGTTCAAGCTTAAAGGGACACTATAGTGACCAGAACAACTACAGCTTATTGAATTTCTTCTGGTGAGTAGAATCATTACCGTCAGGCTTTTTCCTCTAAACACTGTCTTTTCAGTGAAAATGCAGTGTTTCCATTACAGCCTAGTGATAACTTTATTGGCCACTCTTTAGATGGCTGTTAGAGATCCTACCTGGGTCATGGCTACCTAAAATGCATCCAAACATTCAGTGTCTCCTCCAGTGGTGTATCCTGGTTTTGTGATGTCCTAGGCATGACAAAACTCATGTGCCCCTAACCCACCTCCCGCCCCCGCACCACCCACCCTGCCCTGCCTTCTAAATACACACACACACATTCACTGACAGACACACATACACTAGCTAACAGACACATACAGTCACTAGCAGACACACATACACTCTTACTAACAGACACACATAGTAACACACTCCCTAACAGACACACTCCCTGACATACACACACTCACTAACATACACACACTCACACACTAACACACACACACTAACACATACACACTAACGCACACACACAAACACACACACACACCCACGAACAGACACACACACTGACAGTCACACACACACTCACTAACAGATTCACCCAAACACACACACTAACAGACACACACACACACACTCACGAACAGCCACACACTCACACACAAACACACTAACACACACACTAACACACACACACATACACTAACAGACAAACACACACTCACTAACAGACAAACACACACACTCTCACTAACAGACAAACACCCTGCAGGTAGTTTCTAAACAATTCCAACTGGGAACCCGTCCCGTGCCACAGCATGAAATAATCAGCAATATAACAAAGTGAGGGGGAGTGGTGCCAGTTATCAACTGAAGCAGATGTGCAGAACCTGAGCTCCCTGGAGTTCTTCCCAAAACCGCTAACTTTCTCTGTGTACAAACTTTAAAACATATAAATGGTTCCTGTAACTATAAAGTGTCCAAGAGGGTGTGTGGGATGCTTATGGACCTTCGGCAAAATATAGAATACATGGGTGACCAGAAATTAATCAGAAAAGAATGCTAGTTTCTCCAGTTGAGTAATGTACAAACATCCGTGGAGAGGAGTACCAGTTGATAGTAGGAAGGTTCCCTGTGTAGGAATTGGGCCCTGAGGCGTTGCATGGCTATGTAATAAAAAGGCTTGGGAAATAGCCTGACAAAAATCTGACAATCCACTAGCAGTTGTATGGGAACCCTGTTAAGATGGAGTACTCTTCCTAATTGTTTATGGATGCTGGTCAGCTTGGAAAGAGGTAAATGCATAATACATGAGTCTATCTCGAAACCTAGTAATTGCACTGTTCATAATGGGAACAGAGCAGATTTGCCTTTGTTCACCATGAAACCCATATCTTCATGGAGTTGAATAGCATAATGAGTTTGTTGGTGAAGGTAAGTCTCCTCTGTGCCGAACAGCAGCATGTCATCGAGGTATACAATGCAGCAGATTTCTCAGGAGAAAAGATAAGCAGTAGTTTTGTGAAACACCATGGGTCTGAGCTTAGAACTAAAGGGAGGCATGTTAATTCTCATGGTCCCCTGTCCTATAGGAACCTGAAAAAATGCTGACTTGTCTGGTGAACTTGCACAGATAAGTAGGAATCTTTAAGATCTAGACCAGGCATAGGCAACCTTCGGCACTCCAGATGTTTTGCACTACACCTCCCATGATGCTTTGCCAGCATTACAGGTGTAGGAGCATTATGGGGGATGTAGTCCACAACATCTGGAGTGCCGAAGGTTGCCTGTCCCTGATCTAGACTGTTGAACCAATCCATGTGTTACAGGAGATTCCGTAGAAGATGGATGACCTCCATCTTTAAGTAGTGGTATGTGACAAAGGAACCCTCAAGTTGATGATTGGCTAGAATTATCCTGTCTTTTCCTTGACCAGAAAAGAGTTGACGAAAAACAAAATGAACCCTAACAATAGTGCCTTTCTGGAGCAGGTTCAGAAGCTCCATGGGAATAAGACAACTTTGTTGTCTGTTGGTATGCAGTGGAGGTAGTGGCGCTGCCTCTCATGGGGGTGTGTGGAAATTAATGGAGTAACCCTGCATGGTCTAGAGGATTCAGGAGTCTGTTGACAGTGTAGTCAATTTTTGCAGAAATGAAGAGTCTCCCTGTTAACAGAGAGGAAAAAGCTATTAAAGTATGGGACTCATCTGGATGGGCCACATCCACGGGAGTGTGTTTACGGTAAAAGCCTAATGTTGGTGGGAATGGTATCATCATCATACTTAGTCATGGCCCTCTGCTTGCCACTTATCCACCACTGATAATTTAATCTAATGGCAATTTCAAGATCCCTTGAACCTCAGGGCTGGAGGTTACTTTTGATTTTGTAGCTGGAATTTTACCTTTACTTTGTCAGGCCTTAGAACTTGAAAAATTCCCATGCCACTTGGAGGAACTAATGGGCTCTGAAGAGCAATAAGAATGGGTGTTATCTTGATCCGGAGTGGGTTGTGATCCAACTAGCTCTAGCTAGTGCCCTCTTCAATGAGGCTGCCACAGTCGCATTGATGATGATCTGTAAATCATTTTCAGCGGGCGTAACATTTTCCATGTTTGTCATTAAATAATTAAGCGTGAAATGTCTATCAATAATAAGTTACAGAGGGGGCAGGTATAGCAGGTGTGTGACAGATAGGCAGTTTAAAAGAATATACGGTACGATATAGAGAGATAAAAAAAAAAAAAGTAAGGTTTTAATATGGCCTCCCCCATAATATAGAACAGTTGGGCAGCAATACTAATACGTACCTGGGGCTCACCCAGAAATAAATTGCCAATAAGTTGGAGATAAGTATCCCCACTCAAGCCACGTAGCACAGTTAACAAAAATGAGCACAATTAGAAACCAATATTAGGCAAATGGAGCATACTAGAACGATAATTTATAGAGAAAAAATGGAGGAATAGAACTACGTGTCTGTCAATCGCTTAGGCTACTCTTCATACCAAAAGATTGCCGCTCTTTTGCATTAACAAATCGCGGTACCCTCAACTAGCTTTTCGCCGCAAGCGGCAGCTTCTGACCCCCGCTCACAGCGACTTCTCTGTGCCGCTCCACCCAGGGCCAGATTAAGATCCCAGTGGGCCTGGTGCTGACAACTATGATGGGACCTAATTACAGAATTTATCGACCAAAAACACTAAATCTTTCATACCTCTCAAGTGTATCTGATGGAGTTGGTGTTGGAGGTTAACTCAAAGGATGCAGCTATAATAAAACACATACTCTATGCTAATCTCTCTCTAGTTTATGCTTTCATCTTTCAAGTAAATCCATACCCCCTAACAGCAGTGTCCAGTGAAGCAGGAAGTTAATGGGTGGGGTAAAAGTGTGGGCCACTGACGCGAATCACTTGACCAGAACTGCCAAAAGGGGCGAACATGCCCAAAAAGGGGGCATGTCTGTCTAAAGAATTGGAAGGCCAGCCTGGCATCAGTGTCCCTATGTATCACAGTCCCCTAGTCTCTCAGTGTCTGTATGCCCATTTCTCCCAGTGTCCCTATGTCTCAGTATGTCCCGTGTCACTAGGATACTAGGGGACCCTGAGAGAAATGGGGACACAGTCAGACATGTGGACACTGAGAGACCCAGGGACACTGAGACACTTGGGGACATGGGAAGAAATGGGGTCACAGACACTGGGAGATATGGGGATACAGACATTTGGGGAAACTAAGACACTAGGGACACTGAGAGACATGGGAACACAGACACTGGGAGACTAGGGGACACATTGGGACACTGGCTGGGAGGCACTGGGAGACATGGGGGCAATAGAGACACAGAGACATGGGGACACTGAGACACTAGGGACACTGGCTGTGAGACATAGGGATACTGGGAGACATGGGGACACTGAGACACTAGGGACACTGGCAGTGGCGTACATACCAGGGTCGCAGGGGTCGCGGCTGCGACCGGGCCCGGACCACCAGGGGGCCCAGCCGCCCCTGCGACCCGGTATGTACGCCACAGGGCCAGCCTCTTCCCCTGGGGGGCCCAGGAGCCGACCACCCCAGGGCCCACCGAGGCTGGCCCTGCTGACACCCGGCAGGTGGGTGGCCGGTTGGGCAGGCGGGCGCGCGAGGGAGCACTCAGTGCTTCCTCTTCAGCTCCCTCGCGCACCGCACTGATACCGGAGCCGGAAGATGACGTCATCTTCCGGCGCCGGCATCCCTACGCGGCGCGCGAGGGAGCTGAAAAGGAAGCACTGAGTGCTCCCTCGCGCGCCCGCCTGCCCAACCGGCCACCCGCCCAGCAGCACCACTGGACCCCAGGGAATCCCCCCAGCACTCCAAAAGGTAAGGAGGCTGGGGGGATTACATTTAAAAAAAAATAAATGTGTGAGTGTTAGAGTGTGTGAGTGTTAGAGTGAGAGTGAGTGTTAGTGTGTGTGAGTGTTAGTGTGTGTGTCTGCTAGTGAGTGTCAGTGAGTGTGTTACTGTGTGTGTCTTACTGAGTGTGTGTTAGTGAGTCTGTTTGATGTCTGTTAGTGAGTTTATGTTTGTAAATGAGAGTGTATGTTTTGTAAGTGAGTGTGTATGTATGTCTGTCGCTGAGTGTGTCTGTCAGTAAATGTGTGTGTCTGTTAGCTAGTGTGTATGCGTCTGTAAGTGTGTGTGTGTGTGTCTTCAGCACTTACCTTTCTCCAGCGCCGGACTGCATTACTCAGTGCTTTCCTATGGACGTTCAGTGTGCTCCTCTAGCGGCTGTCAGTGAGACAGCCACTAGAGGCTGGATTAACCCTCAGTGAAACATAGCAGTTTCTCTGAAACTGCTATGTTTTCAGCTGCAGGGTTAAAACTAGAGGGACCTGACACCCAGACAACTTCATTGAGCTGATGTTATCTTAGTGTCTGTAGTGGTCCTTTAAAGGACCACTATAGTGCCAGGAAAACATACTCGTTTTCCTGGCACTATAGTGCCCTGAGGGTGCCCCCACCCTCAGGGACCCCTCCCGCCCGGCTCTGGAAAGGGGAAAAGGGGTAAAACTTACCTTTTTCCAGCGCTGGGTGGAGAGCTCTCCTCCTCCGATCCTCCTCTTCTCCTCCGGCGCATTCAGCCGGTCACATAGGAAAGCATTCATAATGCTTTCCAATAGACGCTGGCGTGCTCTCACTGTGAAAATCACAGTGAGAAGCACGCAAGCGCCTCTAGCGGTTGTCAGTGAGACAGCCATTAGAGGAAATAGGGGAAGGCTTAACCCATTCATAAACATAGCAGTTTCTCTGAAACTGCTATGTTTATGAAAAAATGGGTTAACCCTAGCTGGACCTGGCACCCATACCACTTCATTAAGCTGAAGTGGTCTGGGTGCCTAGAGTGGTCCTTTAAGTGTGTGTGCATCTGCATGCACTGGCGTACATACCGCGGTCGCAGCCCTGTAACCCCTGCGACCAGGTGCCCACCGCCATGTGTTGCGGCCCGGCCCGAGCGCGGGGGGGGCCACGGATCAATTTTCGCACCGGGGGTCCCATGGGTCATGTGTACGCCTCTGGACCACTGGCTGGGAGACATGGGGACACTGGGAGACATGGGGACACTGAGACACTAGGGACACTGGCTGGGAGACATGGGGACACTGTGAGAGATGGAGATACTGTGTCCCAAGATATATGTGTCCGCCTATGTCTCACAGCATACCCATGTGTCTCAGCTGTCCGAACTCTCTGTGCTGTGTAGCTGCTCCCCCGCGGATCAGTAAGTAGAGAGAGGCAGGGAGATGCTGTAACTTCCTAGCCCTGCCTCTCTCCTACACAGTGACCCCTACTGGCTGGTGCTGGTATTGCAGAGTAATCTCCGTTAATACTGAGAAAAATATTTGCAATATCCCCCTCTCAGCCTCTCTCGCCCACAATTTTTCATCCATATCAGCATTAAACTGTTTGTTGTTGTAATAGAGTCTCATAGTCTATCCACGTTTGCCAGTCTGAAATTGTTTTCTCTTTTGGACCTTTAGGACCAAATAGGCAATTTCATGTTGTTTATTTCTGGAAACGACTTTTGTGATTTCCCCTACCAAGGGTAGGATAGATTTTTGATATTTTAATACTATAAGGAATAAATCAGCTTATAGGATGTGTGTTGCTACCACTTTATGTTCCCATGGAATATGATCCAGCATAAGCAGTAGTAACATGGTTGTAGGTTTTAAGGGTACCGTAGTCCCCGTTATGAGAGATTGGACCTCTTCCCACATTCCCAATACGCGTTGGCACCTCAACCTCTGTTCCCCACATCTCCGCACCATGGCAACCATGCGCGCCAGTCTAACCAGGACCATGTGCCAGTGCAGTACGATCTTCCTGTGGAGCTCAAGGTGCACAATGTGATATTCCCCTGAACATCGTGAAGATTTCCCTACATTTGGGTTTGGGCATGTCCTTGTGATGTTATACCCTCTCGGAGATGGGTTGTTACCGCCTAGGTCGCCCCTTCCAGTTGTGATCCAGAGTAATTATAGCCGCCTGTGGTGAAACCGACCTCGCCACTGGGCATTGGAGAAGACTGATTGCCAGCCTCCTGCCATGTGACTATGGCCCCTGGGATGTATTGCCCTTTAAAGACATGATTTGGGCATAATGGATTTGTGTTGTGCTGCTGCTGGCCCTTTAAGAATCATCTGGGGACATACTGTGGAGTTACTGGGTGGCCACCATTTCATGTATCAGAGGCACATGGTGAGAACAATGGATGAAGCACATGGTGAGAACAATGGATGGCGGCCATTTTAACTCACAGACACTGTTTGGACTTTTCTACACGGTGCGATCTCGCCGGTATTTGGTGCGCAAAGACATTGTGCAGTAGTTTTAAACTATACAACAGGGGACACATTATACAGTAATTATTTTTCATATAGCTTGTATATGTTCCGCAGAATCTGCATTAAACCGTATCTTCCAAACTACTGTACGGATCTGGGTGAAGTTTGGATATGTGGTTCATCCAGATCCCCTGGTTCCGAGGATATACTTTCTATGGGGGTAGTGCATGTTTTGGGGTCCCTGTGATATGTTTTATAATACTGTATTTCTCTGCCTGTGATAATTATATTAACCACTGTGTTCAGTAATCATATCACAGGCAGAGGGGAGGATTTTGTGTGGGAGTGTCTGTGTGTATTGTACGGATTGATTGGTTGTTTTTCAAAAGCCTGTGGGCAGTACTATGTTTGTGGATTGTGAATAAAAGAGGCTGTATGTGCCAGTACAGTCAGTTCTGCTTGACCTCAAAACGAAGTGTCGTCTCGTTATTGGGGGAATTGGATTGTGTGCTGATTGCCAGGAGTTTAAGCTGATTGTATGCTTTTCCTGTTCAGCTGCTTACAGCATTCATATGCTTGAGAGCATTCGTATGCTTCTCCGGTTCGGTGGTTGTGGTGTCTGCTGCAGTGCTTGGAGTCCTCAGAAGGTGCTAGGAGCATCCTTCAACGGAGGTACCCAGTCGGGGTGCCAGGTGATCCGCCTGCCAGTGATTATAGACGCTTGCAGAAGAGTAACCACGATGCAACCCAAACACTAGTCGAGACTTAGTGAAGGGTGAAGAAGAACTATTTTATTCTGGCCAGATGGCCCACGTATATACAATTTCAGTGTACAGTAAACACGCCCAAAAACACATCCACAATATGCCCTCAGAGTGTCAGCATAAAATCCTATAAACATCAAAAATATACATAAAACATATATACATCGTGCCATGCCCTATATCTACCGAAAGGTCTTTTTGGAGCGCTCACTGTGTCCAAAAAGTGCCCGGATCGGAGCTCAGTTCCAATGTCCTGGGTGGGTCTCCTCGGTCATTAGTTAACTACGGCGTTTTTGAATAATATGGGGAGCTCCCCCATGAGCAAGGTGTCCTTAGATGCCTCTCAGCATCCAGCATAGGCCAGTCAAATAGCGTTGCGATCCGTGGGCCAGGGCCTAAAAGCGCTCTAGTTAAAGTGTTACTGACTCGTGGTGTACGCTCAAGCCGAATAGGGTTCCAGACTAGATGATGGTATCTCCCGGTCACACCCCTTTTCCTTGATTGGGTTAAAAAACGGCTGTTGACACACCTCTTTTGAGTGGTCTGTCACAGTCCTTCCCACAGTCTTTCGACCATTCCTTCGCATGTGAGTATAGTGCTTTTATGTGTTTATGTGTATTTAAGGTCTGGTAGCATATCGGTAGCTTTTTCTTACCAGAAAGAGCTCCCAAACACATATTTTCAAAGTTTGACAGTGACATCTCCGCTGACACATGGCCTGTGCTCCACATATTAGATGCTAGGAGATGTTGTACCCTATAAGTAGGGTAACAAATAAACATAAGAGACCAATAAGTCATATAACCTATAATGGGCAATAATTGAACAATCAAGAGGTAATAATAATGTCAAGGATAAGGAGAACAATACTCTGACCTGATCTGGAGACGTGAGCAGCAAAGAAAGAGCAAGTGTCACTGAGTGCCTGACCTTTTGTCTATTTGTTCTTATGTTCTCTGTTCTGATTGGTTAATCTATTGCAATGTATTTTTTTGCTGCCATTGGAGGTGCAGTAAAGAAAGAATGCAAATATAAAGCCTCCTGTCATTTAATAAAATTTTATTCCCAGGGATTTAATGATTTAATAAGTCTTTAGTGCCCTTTGGCTTAAGAATACTATGTGCTTTTTGATATTTTTCTTGTTTTACATTGTCTTGCTGATGTTCCAGCTACTTTTCAAGCTTCCTTGAGGTGCTGTTAACTGTTTACTACTGCATTTCCATGCAGCAATCACATGATTTGCAATGATGTCATCATAGGCGTGCGCGGCCTATTGCATTAGGGTGTGCACCCTAAAGCACAAACACACGCCGCATATGTATATATGTATTTTATATATATATATACACACACACACACACACATACACTGCTGTGTGTGTGCTGTTAGTGTGCTGTGTGAGGGTGGTGTGAGGGTGCTGGTAGTGTGCTATGTGGGTGAGGGTATTTGTGTGGGTGCTGTTTGTGTTTGAGGGTGCTGGTAGTGTGCTGTGTGTGAGGGTGTTTGTGTGTGTGTGTGTGTGTGTTTGTTAGGGTCCTGTTACTGTGCTGTGTGAGGGTGCTGTGTGTGTGATGGTGCCATTTGTGTGATGTGTGTGGGTGTTGTGTATTTGTGAGGGTGCTGTTTGTATGTGTGTGTTTGTTTGTGAGGGTGCTGTTAGTGTGCTGTGTGTGAGGGTGTTGTGTGTTTGTAAAGGTGCTGTGTGTGTTTGTGAGGGTGCGGTTAGTGTACTGTATGTGTGAGGGTGCTGTATGTGTGTGTGTGTGCTGTATGTTTGGAGGGATTGTGGAGGTGGGGGCAGATTAGTAAATATCCCCCCTCCCTTCTTACCTTATGTAGGGAGGGGGGATCCTTGCTGCCATGTGCCATCCCTGGTGGTCCAGTGGAGAGTGAACTCTAGCCTGTGGTGCTAGAGTTAACTCTCGCGAGATCTGAGCGTTGCCGTGGCAATGCTCAGATCTCGTGAGAGGAACCTGGCGGAGCTGCTGTCTAGAGCTCCCCGGGTCCTCTGCTGCCTCCCTCCATGCTGCTGTGGGCTGGTGAGGTAGATCTTTGATCTCCCCGCCAGCCCATGGAGGCTTAGAGCAGAGCCGGCACTCAGATAGCGTGAGCCGACAGGGGAGATCCGGAGATCTCCAGAGAAGTCCTGGGGAATAAAGTGTGGGAACTCTCCCAAGATTCCCACCCCACAAAAAAAATAATATACATGTGTGTGTGTGCAAACACACATATATATACGCGTGCACACACATACTCAGACACACACACATACACTCACAGACACACACACACTCACAGATACACACACACACACACTTACAGACACACACACATATACACACACACATACATTCACAGACACACACACGTACAATTTTTTATTTTTATTTTTATTAAAAAATGTCCACCCAGCCTCCCTACCTGGAGAGCTGGCGTGGACCTGTCCCTGGGGTCCAGTGGGTCGGGCGCCTGTCTCCAGACGCGGTGAGGGAGCGGTGTCCACTCTGCTGCCTCTCGCCCCGCCGGCTGTCTACAGTAGCTGGGAGCCAGAATATGACGTCATATTCCGGCTCCCGGCATCTGCAAACGGCGCGTGGCGCGAGAGGCAGCAGAGTGGACACCGCTCCCTCGCCGCGTCTGATCTGGGTGTTCCTCTGGCCTGAAAAGTTGTATAAAAATCCAACCTGTACCATTAAACTCTGAGATCATCTTGCAGTCTTGGCTCATGTTTGGAGGATTGGAGAACTCTGGGGATTGCTATAATCACTATAGCTCTTATATACTATACTCCCCTGAGTATAATCACTAAGCTCTTGTAAGAGCTGTTCCTGCTACGCTCTCGGGACTAAGAGAGGCCTACCCACTGGAAGCTGGATTCTGGTCATAGTTCCAGGGTGGGTAGGAGACAGCGAGATCCCAACCAAGCTGCGGTGATTCGTGGGATTTGCAGTAGTTATGGTGTTCAAGCACAGTGCTTATGGTACTCAGTAGTAGGGAGCAGCGATTAATGGAGGTACCCGGTCGGGGTGCCAGGCGGTCTGTCACAATAACCATTTAACAATATACAAACTCTGTCAGCTGTTGGGCAGTTGCCTAACAGTTCTCCAACCTTTTGTTTCATGAGACTCAGCAGCCGACTACTTGCCATCAGCTCTGTGCAGCCTTTCGTCTCCCCACAGTGATGGCGCAACTTGCTCCCTTTGCAGCTGCGCTGTCCAGGAAACCTGCCAAGCTGTGACAACACAAAAAAACAACAGGACACCAAGCAACAAACCACCAAAACTAGGGCGCCATATTCCCGACATCACTCTGCGGCATGCGAGGGAGCTGAGCAGGGAGAGCTCACAAATTAGCGCTCCCTCACCGCCCGCCTGGAGTTTAACCGGCTGCCTGCCTTCCTACCCAAATAGCCCCGGCTAGCAGCCCCACTGGAACCCAGGTAAAAAAATCCACCCAGCTCTCCCAAACGTACGGAGGCTGGGTGGATTTAAATTAAAATAAAATATAATCTGTGAGTGTTGGGGGGAAATGTGTGTGTGTGTGTATGTGTCTGTCTGTCAATGAGTCTGTTGTGTATATCTGTCAGTGTGTGTCGGTCAGTGTGTCTGTCTGTCAGTTAGTCAGTGAACCCCCCTACCCATTCACAGTCCCCCTACCCACCATACAGCCCCCCTACCAACCTTACACAGCACCTACCCACCATACAGCCCCCCTACCCACCTTACAGAACCCCTACCCACAATACATCCCCCCTACCCACCTCACAGCTCCCCTACCCACTCACAGTCCCCCTACCCACCTTATAGAAACCCTACCCACTCACAGTCCCCCTACCCACCATACAGACCCCCTACCCACCTTACAGAATCCCTACCCACCTATAATAGTCAGGGATGTAATATTTAATATGTGGGTTAACATCTTCATAATATAAACATTCTGGGGTCAAGAAAGAATGTTTGCCCCCTATTTTGTGGAGCTTTAAACTGTGCCTTTTGGAAAGGCTGAACTTGATGGATTCAAGAGATATTTCAACCTATGTAACCATAAAACTAAGTTAGTTAATTTCTCTATTATGCGGTTTGGGGATTTGGACAAAAGGCTGTATCAACCAATTTTCATCCTAGTCTGGTTCAGCCAAATCCAAATGCACATATCTAGTGAATATTGGAGATGATGTGAGACTCCTATCAACCCTAACACTCTCTATGTCATTAAAAAATAATAAGACAAACATTAACTACCGGACATCCCTCCACACCGGCTAGCAGATCCTCCAACGAACCGAAGCCATGGGAATCAAGGTACGACTGCAACAAGGCCACCACTGCCTCTCTGGACAGCGCATACATCCTGGCCCGATACCCTGTCTCTTGCCTGTCACCTAGGGAGATTCCTAACCCCTTTCCCTTTTATATATATATATTTTTTTGTGATATTCTTATTATATATTTGTTTTCTTTTTTCTATTAGGAAATCTACAGCCCCTGTGAAAAAGCTAGCTTTACTACACTTCTGTCAGGAGAGTACCCTCCCTTTTCACCCCTTCTTATGTCCTTAAGTTGAAACATAGTATCCCCTTAGATCCATCCCCTTATCCCCGTTATCAGTCATGTCCCCCCTTCCTTATCTTTCCAGGGAGGTTCTTCAGGAATGTTACTGGATGATTATTGTTGAGGGTCTCTAGGTCACATCTGTTTTGCCATGGCTAATGTCATCTGTTTTGGACTGGCTAATGTCAATTCTGTGCATATTTCTTTGCATACAAGTTCATTTATTGACTGAGAGTGCTCAGATGCCGTTCTTTGCCAATTAACAATCGACTGAGGCCGATATCTACAGAAGCCAAATGCTAGTCAGCAGCCATAGTAGGGTAAAAATATGGCAAAAGTACGTGGCAAACCATTGCTAAACAGTTTGCCCCATTACTAGGAAATGTTGCTCGACAACAGCTGAATAGTTCAGCAGGGGTGAAGCAGAAGAGAGAACAGGGGCCCAGTGGACAAGCAGAGCAAACAGTCCATCACACCCCTTCACTATACATTACTAACACTAACCATTATTCACGAAACTCCAAATTATATGGAACTGAAATTCCAACTGCAAAATTTAGGCTTTAAAACAGCTGAGCTTTGACTATAGCCGAGTTGAAGAATTCTTCCAGACCAGCTATTTTTGCAGAATTTCTCCATCTAGATTTCCATTAACTACAATTCAGAGTTTAGTGTATAACGCTAAGTCTTTCTAATAAACAACTTAAATGTTTTTCTTTCATTTCAGCTGGTTTTTCAGGTAATGTGACCTGAGGGATTTCTATATTGGGAGGAACTGTGAGTCAATGAGGAAAAGTGCAATGTAGCATGCAATAGCCTTATTATTGTGCAATAATTAAAGGAACATTTCAAGTACCATAACCACTACATCTCACTATGATGCCAGGCATGCTCCAGCACCCCCAAATGTACGTAGTAAACCTATTAGTAATGCTTTGACTGCTTCACTCCCTGCCTCCTCTCTAACTGGACCCACCTTATCATTTCTCCCTTGCAGTGGTGGTCTAATCCCTGCCATCAACCTATCATCTACGGCCTCCTTGGCTGAGATCAATGATCAATGATCTCAGCCAATCCAATGCTTTCCCACAGGAAGCATTTGGAGGCTAGTATGCATGCGCTGGAAAATGCAGCTTTGTGCCATTCAACCGATCTCCATGAGTCAATCTGATTGAAATATCAGTTTTATTCTGCTATTTTCATCAGAAACGCCTCTAATGGATGTCTGAGAGATATCCATTAGAGGCATTTAAACTGTGCAATGAAAACCTTGCCATTCTATAGAACATGCAGTTTTAAAAGGGCATGGGGATATGGCACCTAGACCACTTTGTTGAGGTGAAGTGGTCTGGATGCCTATAGTATCCCTTGAAATTTCACTGTAATACATAGCTGCCAATCTTTCCTGTACATGTTCTGTGACAGGTAGTGAGCAGGCTGCACAGAGCACTTTTTTTTGTTTGTTTGGAAACAATTTTTATTCCAGAGGATGGAAGTAGTCCATCATTGGTAATGCAACAACAGAAATTCCAGTTCAGGGTTGGGTTTTTACTGTAATTGTCATGAGTTTCATTTTCTTTCTATTAGAGCTGATAATTTTTTAGAGAATCTTTAGATACATTTAACTTCTTTCCATCCCCTTGATAGGATTATTCCATCGTGGTCTTCTAGGCCCAGCTCTCTAATAGAATAATTCATCCTACAGGATTCTTACCCTGATGGCACCATGGAGACTGAAGTATCACTCATTACCTAAGGATCACCTTTGTTGTCCTTTGGGGCCAATATTAGTGACTCCTACAGTGACCAATTCCCATGAGAATTACCATAAACAAACTTCCATGTTAGCCATATAGTCAGATTATGTCATCAATGACATCATCAGGAAAAATTGTTGAAAAATTGAACTGCAGGATTAGGTAAAGATACTCTCTATTGTCTGAAACCTCATTGCATACCTTACCTTACCTTGCGTTTCAAATGTAAGGGTGTGACCAGGGGCAAGGCTGTTCTGAGATATTTTAGGTGATTTACTAATGATAATTTATGCAACTAAAATGTAAATTAGAACAAGAACAATGTTTATACAGACTGATTTCACATTTAAACATTAACACAATTATCAGATTAAATGCTCAATGTGACTTATTATTGCTGTGGAGATCTGTTATACACTCAGACACACCAACAATATGGCGCTCTTGGAAAATACACTGGGACTGTCTCTCCTATCTTGGGAGGTATGTCACCTTAGAGTGGTTGGTGCAGTGATCTGTGTGATCAAGCAGTGAGAGCATTTTAACCCCTTAAGGACGGAGCCAAATGTACATGTTGTGAACAAAACAAACTGTAAACAAAATCTTGCATTTGCGCTACATGTCTGTCCAACCGTAATTCACCTCTTTCATATTAAATGCACCCACCCTTATTATATATCATTTTATTCAGGGGAAACAGGGCTTTCATTTAATATCAAATATTTAGCTATGAAACATAATTTAATATGAAAAAAATGGGAGAAAATAAGAAAGCATATTGCGCAGTGTGTGTGAGGGTGCTGTGTGTGTGTGTGTGTGTGTGTGTGTGTAAGGGGTGTAGTGTGTGTGAGAGAGGGGTGCAGTGTGAGTGATGGGTGCTGCGTTTGCGTGAAGGTGCTATGTGGGTAAGGGTGCTGTGTGTGTGATGGGTGCAGTGTGTGTGTGTGTGTGTGTGTGTGTGTGTGCTGTGTTTGCATGAGGGTGCTATGTGCATGTGAGGAAGCTGTGTGTGAGGGTGCAGTGTATGCATGTGAGGAAGCTGTGAGTGTCAGGGGTGCAGTGTGTGTAAGTGAGGGTGTGTGATGTGCGTGTCAGGGGTGCAGTGTGTGAGGGTGCTGTGAGTGTCAGGGGTGCAGTGTGTGTGCTGTGCGTGTCAGGGGTGCAATGTGTGTGTGTGAGGGTGCTGTGAGTGTTAGGGGTGCATTTTGTGTGTCAGACGTGTAGTGTGTGAGTGAGGGTGCTGTGAGTGTCAAGGGTGCACTGTGTGTGCTGTGAGTGTCAGGGGTGCAGTGTGTGTGTGTGTGAGTGTCAGGGGTGCAGTGTGTGTGTGTCAGGGGTGCAGTGTGTGTATGTGTGAGGGTGCTGTGAGTGTCAGGGGTGCAGTGTGTGTGTGTGTGTGTGAGGGTGCTGTGTGTGTGTGTGGGGTGCTGTGAGTGTCAGGGGTGCAGTGTGTGTGTGTGAGTGAGAGTGGGTGCAGTGTGTGTGTGGGAGGGTGCTGTGAGTGTCAGGGGTGTGCGTGTGTGGGTGTGTGAGGTGCAGTGTGTGTGTGTGTCAGGGGTGCAGTGTGTGTGTGTGAGGGTGCTGTGAGTGTCAGGGGTGCAGTGTGTGTGTGTGTGTGTGAGTGTCAGGGGTGCAGTGTGTGTGTGTGAGTGAGGGTGCTGGGAGTGTTATGAGCCCTGCTGTCCCCTGATTATATCCCCCCTCCCTGCTTACCTTATGCCTGGGAGGGGGAATCCTGCTACTCCTGCCGCCATCCATCCCTGATGGTCCAAGTGGTGAGTAAACTCTAGCCTGTTGGGCTAGAGTTCACTCTCGCGAGACCCGGAGCGTTGCCATGGCAACGCTCCGAATCTCGCGAGAGGAACCCGGCGGAGCTGTAAGTTAAAGCTCCGCTGGGGTTCCTCTGCTGGCAGGCTGTCTCCCTCCCTCTCTCCCCCGGCGGCCGCAATATTCTCTATGTGGGCGGGTGAGGGAGATCTCTGATCTCCCCACCGGCCCACTGTAGACTACTGCAGGGCCGGTGTTCAGATAGCGCCGGCCCTGCAAAGACCGGCAGGAGAGATCCTGTGATCTCCCTGCCGGTCTCGGCCCCACGGCCACCGCGGCCCACCGGGCATTTGCCCGGTGTGCCCGATGGCCAGTCCGGGCCTGATGGCAATAACCTCTTTCAGAAGGCCAATATACCCTGCCACTCTGCAAAAATTGTTCAGGAATGGATTAAGAGACGTGAGAGAGTTTAAGGTGATTCCTTTGCCTGCAACTGTCCCAGATCTCAATATGCTTGAGCATCTGTGGGATATGCAGGAACAAAAAAATCTGATCCATGGAGGCCCACCTTGCAACTTGCAGGACTGTCGCTGGTCTCTGAGAAGCCTGTGATTGGACAGCACGTGACCCCACTTGTCAGGGGGGGGCATAGTAGAGCAATGCCAACTTTGCTCTGTGCTGGATTCAAGCTGCTTTTCTTTCTTTTTTTTTTTAAATAGGTTTTACAGCCAATTGAGAGGGGGCCTTCTCCACAGTGACCCATAGGGTATTTTACATGGGAAAGGTCAACCTTCTCCAAAGGGTTATAGTAACCCTTTTATAAATCCCTCTCCCTCTGTAGAAGGCTCATGTTTTTCCTGTCTTCCAGCAGTTAGGAAGGAGCCTGCTCTAGCAGGCCTGAATTTTATTTTATGTTCACCAAGCCAATATTTTTGAAAGCTCTGCCAGGGTTCAGCCTCTTGTCCCCAGAGACCCAGTAAACAGTGAGGGGACTCCCTGTGTATACCTCTTATAATGACCATAGTCTAATCTAAGTAACAAAGACATGCTCTGCGTGCCAAAATAAATAAATAGTGGATTTAAAGAGTATACATGTCACCCCTACTGTTAATAGAATAGATTATATAACAAACCCTTTACAATGAAATAAGTCCTGCAGATAGATTCTTGCATTATCAAATTTAATGGAAAAAAAGTCCTCAACGTGAGTCGTTTGAGCGGAGCTCTCCCTTCTCTTCCTGTATACCTGTTCCTCCTGTAACTGTTTGTTAATCCACCTCTTGTACAGCATGGACAAATTTATTTGTGCTTTATAAATAATAAATTTTTGTGTGTGTGTTTTTTTGGGGGTTTTTTTTAAACCACAAACTTTTGTTTAGTGAATAAAGTCCTTTTGGGTCTGTAGCTGTGTCAGTTTACTTGCAATCCACTGTTTACGGATTGAATCCCATGTACGTGTCTGGCTGTGTCAGTGTGTATCACTGTTTAGGGTACATTGCTTATTCGTGTACAAAGAATTGCCAGATGATTGAGAGTGAGTGTGAGAAATGAAAGGCTTACTCTTAACACAGAATGGCATATGTTTATTTTTTATTTATGATTCTTATCAGAGATAAGTCAAGATATGTAGAAGATCTCCCAGGGTGAAGCTGCTGCTGATATGTATTCAGTTCAAGAGCAGACAAGCAAATACAATGTTGGATATTTATGAACTACCCCATGAATCATGCCATTTGTTACACTCCTTATATATTAGTGTATCTTAACATGTTCCGGTCATGTGATTCTATGTCAGGAATGAATTTCATCCATGCTTATTTGCCAACTGTATCTGTTTAAAGCCATGGCAGGAGGGGGCAGCCAGAGTGGAGCGAGGGAGGGGTGGGGGGGAATAGATCTGTTACAGCAGTTGCATTGTTTGTATGCCCCATCTGACTACACCCCTACTTCCTACCAAGCTCATTCAATTTCGTGAATATAATGTAGGATATCATGGGAACAAAATAGGACCATTATCACTTTATGTACAGTTGGAGCCAAACTTCTACCGTGTCCAGATGAGACATTACTTTGCTTCATATTTTGACCTCCTTTCTCTTTAGCACTATGCAGATAGAAACAAAAAAAAAAATATATATATATATATATATATATAACCATTTAATCTCATTGAATTGGTTATAGTGCCTGGAGTCCCTTGCCACCATCCCTTTATCCACTTTTTTTTTTTTTTTTTATGTTTTAAACACTGAAAGACTGTTCATTCCTGGACCCCCACAGCCAAAGTCTCCACTAGAGGTAGGGCTAAGACAGAGATTAGACTCTTTGTTATCCATAATAATTCATAGCAGCTGCCACTCTTAGCCAATCACTGCCACCCACTGCTGCTCAAACAAATTCCTCTTCAGCCCAAGCCGCACAGAGGGGATGGAAACTCTTGGTTAGTAGTAAACTATTTGTAAATGGTTTAATGATTAACAGAATGTCAAACTCCATGCACTATAACCATTTCAATTAGATGAAGAGATTACAGGCATAGAGTACCCCATTAAAGTTTGACTAACCTTTATGAACATCTATATCATTTAAATTGCAACGTCCTATTGAGCAATTGTAGGTAGCACCTTTCCACCCGAAAACTGGAATGAAATACTTGCCTGAAATCAAGTTCCGGGCACCGCTCTCAGCATTAAGAAGCATTTGATTAAACCACGTCACTGGCTCAGAGTGCATGTACCAAAGACGGGAGGGAGGAATTTGTAAAATAAAAATCGATTTAAGCTATGATAGGAAGGAACAGACAGAGGGGAGGGCAAGCTTTCCCTTAAATACAAGCAGCCTGTAAGGAAGAAGATAATTACATCTGTCGCCAGTGCGCTGTGCACGTTGACAATGGTAGTAAGTAAGGGGTGTAATCATATGGGGCATACACCAGAGACTTTCTTTTTCCACAGAACTGACCTTACAAAGATCAGAACAGAGGTGGGGCTGTAACTAACCCCTGGCACAAAAGTAATTAGATCTCTGAAATTGCTGATCTTAAGCAGAAACGTGGCACTTCCAGACTCCTACCACCATAACCACTTCAAATCTATTTAGTGGCGATGGGTTTTAGATGTAGTTCTTAAAGGGTTATGCTAAGATGGTGGCTACATCTATTAGTTATGGCCCTCTTGTATGAAAATAATGATAATGACTGTGCAGGATACAAAAAAAAAAATAAATGAAAGATAAATCTCTATCTAAAACATAATGTAATAACATTATTGCAAGTTTCAGCAAAAGTAATCAAAATGTAACAAACCAACACACATTTCTTCAGCTCTAAACACTTTATTCACTAAACACCGAATTGCAGTGAACTTAAAAATGGATTTATAAAATCTAGGCTTAAAACAGACAAATTTAGAGCCAATGTGGAGAAATATGCCAAATCAGCACTTTCTGACTACACTGCAATTCAGAGTTTAGTCAATAACATAAAAATGAAATCGAAATGAATAGCTGTATTTATAGGTTATTCATTTAAATACCTTATTAAGCATAATGAGTGAAACTTGTCTCGGAGGACCATGAGGTGGGGTAGGACAGCATTTTTATGGGGCTTTCTTTTGTTTTAGAATATAATGTGGTCTTGTCTGCATACTTCCAGATTTATCCACTAAAGTGAGAATTAAAAGAGAATTTCAAAATGTAAAATCAAAATAGTCAAACAGGAAATATTCTCTAAATCAGCTATGCTTTTAAATCGCCTATTCTGGCCTTAAATTTGGAGTTCACTTTGAATTCACACTTTAGTAAATACAGCCTGTGTTTTTTCAGGTCATCTTTAAAAACCACTTAATTGTTCACAGCTCTACATCGTGTAGGTGTAATTTCGGTGTATTCTATTTTGTGGTTATTTGGTATAGTAATATACTACTATATTTGACATGTTTAGCATAATTGTTGAAGCCATTTTGAGAAGCGCGAGTACCATTCATATTTGCTTAAAACTGTATCCATTTCCGTGATTATAGAATGCTTTACAAGTATGTAATTATACAATTGTTTCCATACACTTTTAGTGCACCATTTGTTTGTATTATTTTACAAAAGTCCTGTTTTAGCACGGTGGTCCTGGCAAATCATCTGTCAAGACTAGATAGGGCTCCGGCCAGATATTGCTCCATTCTCACACAGCGCATGGGGTACCAGAAGGCTACACTTGCCGAGTGAGGTAGAGGTTTCAATGAATCCATTAGAGTTACACAATGCTCTCTCTGACACCATCTTTGTTCCCAAAACAATTTTTACAGCAAACACACATTAAATAGTCTGACACATTATGTGTGAAGAGTGAGCGGCAAGGGTGGAAGTACTGATAAAAGAGGAGCATGAACGCAATGGCAGTGGAGTAACCCACCAAAAGTTGTACCACGAGGAGTGGGGAGCAAAAATATTCAAATCCATCCTCTTTGAAAAAATACCAAAGTAAGATGAGGAGTGCATTTTCCGTTAACCGAAAGGTGTAGTGAAGAGTTAATCTTCCCCAGTTTTGTGCCTGGTCTATTAGGTCCCTCTCACTCAAGTTGAGCTGTACAGCAGACCAGCAGAACATATTGATGGCCGAGTAAAGCAAGGTCACAGTTCCCAAGACAGTTACAGTTCCAAACCAGCTAAAATTCTTCTCTACATTCTCAGGCAAGCTTGCCCTACTCCTCCAGAAGCGAATCCATGGCAAAAAGAAAAGGGCTATCAGATTGACCAGGGCAACTGCTGCAATCCAAGCCTTAAGGGCAGAACAGAAAAGTACCAGTACAGTAACACGTGTGGCGATCTCCAGGCTTCTCCACAGAATGATGCACAGGAAGGCTGGAACAGTCAGTTTCACTTTGTAGTCATCATACTTTATCTGGATAGCCAATACATTAAGAACCAAAGCACCATATGTGGTGGAGGCCAGAGACATGGCCATAAGAACAGCTAGAAAGGAAAAAAGGATATGTGTTAAGCAAGATGCTGCATTGTATTATTCCAGTTAGGACAGTAATGTTTAGTCACAAACTATGTATTTTTAGGTCTGCATACACAGTATGGCAGCAATAGCTGAGAGAAAGATATTTATAGTGTCGTATAGGCCAGGGGTAGACAACCTTCGGCACTCCAGATGTGGACTACAACCCCCATAATGCTGACAAAGCATCATGGGAGGTGTAGTCCAAAACATCTGCAGTGCCGAAGGTTGCCAATGCCTGGTATAGGCCATTAAGCTTAAAGGGACAATCTCCAGAACTAGCCATACCTCCCCTGACTGTAACTCACTCTGTCTTCCTTCACATTTCCAAACAGCCCACATTTTTTTTAGCTTCCCTTATTGCACAATACCCACTTTTTTTTTAGCATCACTTATTGAGCAATGTGCTTAATTTAGATTAAAGAATTACATTTAGAATTTCATATCTCCTGCTACGTCAATGGCCAGCAAGAGGCAACAGCAGCAACTGTAGGTGTTTCCAAGGCTGCATAAAAAATAAAAAAAAATCACCACACATACATACTTCACATTTCTACTATGCATAAGTGGGAGGTGAAATAATGCTTAGGTATGGTAGTGAGAGAAAAAAAAATACGGATAGAAGAAGGTATGAAAAGCGACTGAATAAGGCAGGGCCGGCGCTACCAAAAGGTGAATAGGAATTTGTCTAGAGCACCGCAATTTCATTGGCCAGAGATCATAAAAAAATCCCTGACTGGACCAGTGCACCCATGCTACTACGGGAGGGTGAGGAAGAGTGTGAGCACAGCTTTCTCACAATCCAGGGCTTCTTTGTGCTAGGAGAGAGTAGGATACCGGGCAGGCAGTTTTCTGATTGGAGGGCAGACCTTAACCTCTAGGCTACATAATTAAATAAAAAGGTGTGGCTCATGCCACATGGTATGTGAAGGTGTGTCGTCAGACATTGCAGTGGTGTAAAGATCATGTTTCCTCCACGACCAGAAGAGCAGTCGGGGCTGTGACTCCCAAGTTGGGAGAGTGGAAGATTACTTTGATGTCTTCCAAAAAACAAGATGGTGTTTAATAAAATCGTCAAAAAAGTTACATAAGTGTCTGATTGACGTTTCGGCCCATTCTGGCCTCTCAAGATCACAGAGTAACACAATAAACCACTATTCTATAGGTAACAAGTAAGAGAAAGTATAGCTCATCCTCCAACGGGTGACCCAGAAGTGCTCATGGAGATCATTTGATGTGGCGGCGTGAATTGCAACACACTTGTTATTGGAGAGTTTCACAATTTTTACCTATAGTATAGTTGCTTATTGTATTACATGGTGACACAGACAGACACACACACACACACACACACACACACACACACACACACACACTCTCTCTCTCTCTCTCTCTCTCTTTAGGTAAGCCCAGCCCTCTTAGGGGATGAATTCCCAAGTAAGTAAGTGAATCTCATGAATGCAGGCATTAGGTTGATAGAATAGGACTTGTGAAAAAAATAGGGTACATTGGCGTTGTGGCTTATGCAATGTATGATCATATAAATCAAACTGCAACTAAATCCCAATTATTTTCACCTACGTCAGATTTTATTTAAAAAAATAAATTAAAAAATTGTGATCTTTGAAGTAGTTTTAAGTGAGAAAGGGATGTCACAGCATGACAGAATTTGTGATTAGTGATGTCCCGAACGGCAAACATATGACCCTGTACCTCACAGTCAGTAGACACATTCCAGCCAAGCAGCAGCAGACCCTCCCTCCCAGACCCTCCCACCTCCTGGACAGCATCCATTTTGAAGCTGCATTCTTAGTGAGCTGTCCAGGAGGTGGGAGGGTCTGCTGCTGATTGGCTGGAATGTGTCTGCTGACTGTGAGGTACAGGGTCATATGTTTGCCGTCTGCGGCGAACCGTTTGGGACATCACTATTTGTGATGTACACAGTGAAATCAAATTTGTTTAATTTTTAATTTGAACATTCCTGAAATTATGTAACTTGACAGGATATACTTTGTATGCTCTATCCTTTTATTCTAAAATGGGACTGTAACTTTATAACATCGAATTCTAAAGACTACACTGATTCTGACAAATGGAAGATCCCAGATTGAAAAGACCATGGACTTTGATGCAGCACCATCTACTGATGGTTGTGTACATTGTCACAATGATTTGCATATTTTGTGAAATTCACATAAAATCCTCGGGATTTGGATTTTATAGGTTTTCCCTGATGATCCCATGTGTGACAGTCCTATAGCTTACTGCATTTTACTATTGCCTTTATTTATTTTTTTAAAATGGGTCATAAAACATAAAGCATTGAGCCAGTTCCTTTTGCAACATTCTCTAAACGTGGTCGTGGTTTCTTCCAGAACTCCAGTTTCAAAATATAAGGGCCTGTCTCGTGGCTGCACTGCTCCTTGGTGTTTGGGATTAGCTACAGAGTTGTAAGTCCTGTGGGCAGAAGAGCCAGGCCTCAGTCAAAAATAAATAATCTTTAAATAGTTGATGTTGGGAACATTCAGAATACTCAATTAGTGCCAGAGTGGATGGAGCGGCAGAGGGATAATTTCCTGTCTGGAAGATGGTTGGGGTCCATGGTGCTAGAGGAGACTGGACAGACAGTAGCAGGACCCTAAATCGTAAACCAGTCACCCCTGTTCCTATTACAAGGACATTTCAAATAACTCCTCCCATGTGTCCACACTACGTTGCGGTATGTTTTGAAGCAAATCTACATTTAAAAAAAAAAAAATTTTTAAAAATGAATAAAAGCAATGCAGCCTCCCAATATCCAGCCTTCTCAGACCCAGCTCACCACACGCACACACCAATAACTATATGCATTTATAAATCACACCTCTTAGAATACGTGTGTAGTACTCATCACACAAATGAATGCACAAATACCTACCTACTACGATCACACATATGCACCCCACACATACAACCTCCATTAAAAATTAAACCATAAGCACTGAAGTTCATTATCACACATTATAGAGGTAGTTAAAGGAGAGTAAATAGAAAATGCTGGTAGGGGAACCTATTTTCCCCATGCAGTGGATTATTCTCACTGCCTAACCCTATAATGACAACTTGTTGTTGAGCGTAACATGCAGTGGCTACTTGTTGTAGTTGCCTGCCCCCTAGTGACGTTTATGTTGTACTACACTACTTTTCCAACACTATGTAGAAAAGCAGCAAATAAAGAAAAATACATAAACATCACGTTTATATGAAGATAACATTATGAAGACGGTAGAGTCAAAGTAACAGTCTGTTATGCAGTACACCATAGCAGGGTTAAATCGTGAAATGGGAATATAGTCAGGGATTCACCAGGGATTTTCACATTTCCATCCAAAATAGCTGTACTGGACTAAATCTCCTACTCCGCTATGCTTCCAGCTTGGTAATTGTGGCCTATAATTTTGAATTCTCTGTTGAATTTCAGTTTAATAGATAATCGAGTATGAAATTTGGTAGATAATCCAGTTAAATACTGGAGATCACATCTTTCATAATACTTGTTAATGGAATCTTTTTACAGAATGCTGAGCACACCTCATTTTACTTTTACAATATGATTTTTGTTTTGAACACAAGTGCAGTGTATTTTTTCCCTAAATCATTTCCCCCCATTATACACATTACAGGGACACTATGAGCACCCACACCACTTCATCTCATTGAAGTGGTCTGGGTGCAGTGTCCCTATAACATTGCAGGGTTAAGACAACCTCTAATGGCAGCCTTACGGAGAGCCATTCAATGAGCTTACTACATATTCACACAGTTTAACTCTGCGAATGATGTTGGATGTTCTCCCACTTTGCATGAAGTCCAGCGTCTTCAATATCCCCATAGGAATCAATGAAGGTCTAATGCATGCGCATTAGGTTCCTCCATTTTCATGACATTACTGAAGGTAGAGATCGATCCAGCAGCGAGGGACCTTGGCAGTGAAAAGCAGTAAGTGAAGAAAAAAAAAAAAAAGTGTTTGGAGAGTGGATCCTAGTAAGTTAAGGATTATTATTTTATTATTTATATAGCGCCATCAGATTCCGTAGCACTGTACAATGGGTGGACTAGCATACATACATGTAATACATGACAACTGGACGTACAGGAACAGAGAGGTGGAGGTCCCTGCTCAATGAGCTTACATTCAAAAGGGAGTGAGGTATAGTGACACAAAGGATAAAAGTAGAGGTACAAAGTAGGTTGTTAGAAAAGTATTCACTGAGGGCTTAGTAGGTGATTTTTGACAGTTGCAGGAGAGGACTCATGGGAGGTGGGGGATAAAAACCTGCTAACAGTTTAATTATATGATATGCTTTCTTGAAGAAGTGAGTTTTCAATGATTTTTTTGAATGAGTGGAGACTGGGTAAAAGTCTTACAGAGAAGGGAAGGGAGTTCTACAGAAGAGGTGCAGCCCTGGAGAAATCTTGGAGGCGAGCATTAGAGGTGGGAGTATGGACAAAGGAGATACGTAGGTCTTTGGCTGAGCGCAGCGGCCTCGATGGGACATACTTGTGTATTAGGGAGGATAGGTAGGTTGGAGCAGGATTATGTAGGGACTTGTAAGCAATCCCCAGAATTTTAAATTGAGCTCTATATCTAACTGGAAGCCAATGCAGGGACTGACATATGCGAGGATTACTATAGCTTTCGTAGTACAGTTTTGTATTCATAACACTATACTGTTTCTTTAATATTTACAGTAGGACTCACATTTTCCAGACACCACTAGAAAATGTACGCCTGGCAAGGAGAAATTCACCCCTGGTGAATATACGATGGCTTGCAATGGTGAGTAACTGTCAAAGGAACTTAATTTCACCGAAGTGGTTATATTGTCTGGAGCAGTGGCGGATCCAGAACTTAAACTTGTGAGGGGCACTAGCAGATCATTTAAAGAAAACAATCCAGGCACAATAACCACTACAGCCCCCAGAGTAAGTAATCAAAACATAAAAAAAAAACAGTTTGATAACTTACCTGGGGTCTGCCGGGTTAGGGGCAGTAGTGTGTGTGTGTGAGAGGGTCACAGTATGTATGGAGGGGCAGTGTCTGTATGGGAGGAGCAATGTGTGTATGGGGAGCAGTGCCCCTCCCCCCCCCCCCAATCCACCACTGGTCTGGAGTCCCATGGCAACATCCTTGCATTCAATATTACTACGATTATATATAATGCAGCAGCAAATTCTGCAGCGCTTTACAATGGGAGGACTGACAGACACTTATTTGTATCCAGACGAACTGGACACACAGGAACAGATGGTCTGAGGGCCCTGCTCAATGAGCTTACATGCTAGAGAAAGTGTGATATTGTGACACAAAAAGGGAAGGGAAGGAAAGTAAGTTGCTAGTATGTCAAATCATTTTCAAGTCAATACAGTAGTTTGATACAAATCGAAAGTTGCCCAACAAACTTACTAAGATAATAAATCATATTTCCACATTAACTATGTGGCGAAAGAATGGCCCAGTCATAGGCACCTGGAGGATCCTTGGCTTTTGTCAAACAGCATTAGCCCCCCAATTTTTTTTGTAATCATCAACTCCGTGAGACAGCAGGGGCATGATCTATACACAAAGACTGCTTCAATATCAATATCCGAACACACCAGTGCAACAATTTTAGGTGAAAATATATCCTAAGACAAAGAATATGTTAAACAGCAGATTATTAAATTTAAAAGCAATCAATATATTGAGTTCCCCATTTGTCTAGCCCATGTAATGAACTTAATCAAGTTGTTAAAAGGTGACGGACCAGTGGGCTTTATCTGCTAAACAGTGCAAACTTGTAAAGAGCAACAATGGTTTTAACCATGGCTTACCTCGTGCTGGAGGAACATATCTCTCCAAAACACTGACATACAGCTGAAGAGTGAGCTGCGGGGTAGACCCAAGGAATGCCTGCATGACAGCTGTTCGTTTAAAAGCGTTGCGGTGTATAGCCATTCTTCTCAAGGAATGTCCTACTTCGCGCTCCTCTTCCACAGCCTCACCCCAGTGGTGCAAATGTTTCTTCCTAGAGATGCTCACATAAGGTTCCTCCTCGAGGCCCATCTGAAAGTACACTACAAGGGCTTCAACGCATCTGCATGAAATAGAAGAATACCTTTTAGTATACATTTTTATCACAATGTAATGGTTCCAATAATATAGAAGCTATTATCCATTTGTCCCTGAATATATAGTTAGGTTTTCTAATTTTACATTAAAAGTAGTGTTTTCTTTTTAATAGGAATTTAGAATATTTAAGACAGTCCCATCCAAACTCTATTCACTTGGAGTGGAGACGAAAGCTATTGAACCCCTTAATGTCTTGTAGGACATTCCATGCCATTCAAGAAATAGTGGGATCGATGGGGCTTACATTAAAACAACTACTACATTCAACCACGCCCTGCAACTTAAAGTGAAACGCCAGGCACCAAGACAAGTTTAATGCAAGTGATCAGTTTTGGCCTCATTAATATGCGGTTTTTATTTGTGTTTTTTTTTAATGCTCAAGTTATAGTTTATGTGCACACACCCCAAAATAAATAAATAAATAAATAGTCTCTGGAAACACTTTCTCATATCAAATGTATGCACACAGTTTAGTCACTAGCAGCACTGAGCGATCTGAACTATAAAGCATCCTTCATACACGATTAAGGCCTTGCGGTCTAAAAAACATTGTATTTTTATTTTTACTTGAAAGGAACACTGAGTCAGGAACACAAATGTGTATTCCTGACCCTATAGTGTTAAAAAAGGTAAGAAAACCCCTTATTTCCACAGCCGCAGGCACTGGCTCTGCCACCTATACGCCTCCCATAGGAAAAGCATTGGATTGGCTTAGATGGTCAAGGAGGCAGGGCACGGGTGGAGCCAAACACTGGCTTGGCCAATCCGCATCTCCTCATGGAGATACACTGAATGAATGCTTCTCTATGGGGAATGTTCAGCATCTCCATGCAGAGTGTGAAAACACTGAACATCAGTGCTGCACATTGTGCAGCACTGCCCCAGGAAGCACTTCCAGTGGCTGTCTGAAGAGAGGCCACTGGAGGGGTCCCTAGGAAGCAATGTAAACACTGCCTTTTCTCTAAAAAGGGAGTGTTTGTATTAAAAAGCCTGCAGGTACAGGGTATATGCACCAGAACAACTACAATATGCAGAAGCTGTTCTGGTGACCGTTTTCCACCCTTTTTAATGTGCTTTTTTGAGTTTGAAAAGGCTGGTGGAGAGATAAATACCAGGAGCATTGTAAGGTCCTCTGTAGTCCAGTAAGCCCTAATAGCAGACCTCCAGGGATAGTTATAGAGGGTAAAAAAAAAAAAAAAGTACTGAAAAGTACTGTCCCAGCTCCTCTAGTGTTTGTATGTGTGAAGCTGGACAAAAAGAGGAAGGGACCCCTTCCCATATGCCCACTAGTAACCTCTCACACAGGAAATGCAAGGCATGGGAAGCTCTGAATGATGCACACTGTATAACAGCCCCTGCAACGTTAGTCTACAGAAGACATAGGTGAGTACTTTCAAATAATCATTCAAATGCCAGCACTCAAAGCCTAAGTCTTAAAATAAACCCTTTAGCCATCTTATATTTAACTTCACTGAAAAAACTAAATACCTCATGTACCCCAAAACTAAATTTACCCAACTCTATGCCTAAACTCCGTAATCATAACCAGCTCTGATACTACAACTTTAAACACTCTCAAACGGTTATTCTTGTGAACACTAAACATCCCATGTAATCTTACTCTGACATTAACCCCTCTCTAACCTAACCCTCACTTTACCTTAACCACTAACTTTGTTTTTTTTATCTTGCATGCATTTACACAGCTGCATACGCTCACTATACTCACGGATTCAAACAATACATTATAAGTAGAGCAGAAATATGCACAGCCATACATTTATACATATGCTTAAATATATATTACACATATGCACTGGACTGCAATGTCCAGTTATTCATTATGCTTACTTCATCTGCCTAAATTTGGGGTTGGGGGAGCAGGGGGCACTTCAGAATATTGTACGAACAGGCACCTGACATGTAAACCTGGTCATGGAGATGCCTGTGGATTGTTTCTCCCAACTTAAAATTTGTGGACTGTGAATCCTTACCACACTGCTCCAGTTGCATTGCAATACAAGTCTACATTTTTTTGGTTTTGTACAAAGCAATCTACATTCGGTAGATAGGACACCCAGTGAGCCTACTAGTTTGTGGTTTCTCTGACTGTCTGCAGACAAGTGAATTAGAAGTAGCTCACTTTGTGCTCTTGGGGGCCAGAGCTGTGTGTATACAGGTCTTTCATAAGAGGGAGTGGCTAAGGAGACAGGTTTATGGTGCAGCATTGTACAAAAACTTTATTTCTGGGAAAAAAAAGCCTAAAGATTTGAGCATGCAAAAGATATACAGCATGTTAATGAGTCCAAAATCTATCAAATTAATTAACGTTGTATTAGTACCCTGAGTGTCCCTTTAAGTGTTGACATTGCAGGTGTCAGGGCTGCTGGGGAGGGGGGTGGGGGGAAGACCCACAATGTTTAAAGAATTCTTTATAGCGTGCACTGATAATCCTGTGTGTGCCTGATCACACACTCTTTGATCAGGCACACAGAGCGTGAAACCGTCAACCCCCACCCCAAATGCCTCACTCTGACAGTGTACAGCAGTGTTAGTGCTATAAACTGCAGGGAGACCCAATATGTTGGATATTTGGACTTTTTTTTGTTTGTTTATCATTGGTTCTGTGAATTACACAGGCCATAAGCTCACTAAACGTTTGTGGTCCTGGTTACTATAATGACTCTTCAAGAATTGTATTTTTGTCATTGAAAATAAAGCTTTGCAAGTTTGAAAAAACCTGACAACTTTTTTAGCTGGTTCCTAGATTCAAAGCAAATTTGTCAAGCCCTGCCTTAGACCCCACGTTGGACATGTTAAAACACAACTGCTACTAGATTGCAGAGTGGAGTATAAGTGCAACAGAGATATGGGTGGGGGGGCGTTAACTAGACAGGAAGGGTACCCAACCCAGTCACATGCCATATGGAGGCTTGATTTAGATAATTTGACACTGGGGACACTGAGTTTGGAGCCAGTTTTTATTGTCCATGTATGGAGACCTCTACTCTTCCAAGAGTGAGGGAGCAAGGGGCACCCACAATTTTGTCAGGACCTTGTTCCTTCTCTATTGCTGCAGGTAAGTGGATCATGCAGGAGATGGAGAGTCTGTATACTACGGGTCAATTAGCACTTCTGGTAGGGTTAAAAGGTCAGAGAAACTGTGGAAGGTTTTTTTGGTACGGATGGAGTTTGGTACCAAAATTATGTTGCACAACGAAGGGGAGAGAGGGAAAAAAAAGGGGGGGGGGGGGAAGCCAGTAGGGGTGACCTACAGAGGATAGTTCGGTTTCAATCTGAGGTTGTGAGCTCTGTGGGTGCTGTCAAAAAGGATATCAGTATCTAGTTGATTTTGGGGAATCTAAACATATTGAAAAGATGTTGTAGCACTTCTTGGAGATTTTACTTATCGGTCAATGGTACAGGCTCAGAGTGGAAAAAGTTTATTTTTATTTTTTTTAAATGGTCATCATCCCCATTATTCCAGGTTGCCTGATACATACACACTAAGCCAGTATTCATATTATACTGTAAAAAAGTATAACACTAACTTAAAATTAATGAATGTAATGACTGCCATTTAGGAGTTAAATCCCTTTGTTTATGAATCCTAGTCACACCTCCCTGCATGTGACTTGCACAGCCTTCCTAAACACTTCCTGTAAAGAGACATCTAAAGCTTATCCTTTATTGCAAGTTCTGTTTTATTTAGATTTTCTTATCCCCTGCTATGTTAATAGCTTGCTTGACCCTGCAAGAGCCTCCTGTATGTGATTTAAGTTCAATTTACAGAGAAAGAGATACAGTTGTTTAAGGTAAATTACATCTGATTGAAAGTGAAACCAGTGGTTTTTTTTTTTTTTTTTTTTAATGCAGACTGTGTCAAATCAGAGCCAGGGGAGTTGTGACAAGGGCTGCATAAACAGAAAGGAAGTGAATGAACTCCTAAATTATTTATTTATAAAATATTTTACCAGGAAAGATACATTGAGATTTCTCTCACTTTCAAGTATGTCCTGGGTCCACAAATCATTGCATTGTTACATTAGGTACAACAAAATACAAAAACAATATTAATACACAATATATACAAAATTTAACATAGAACAGGCAGGAAATATATAATCAACCATGACACGTGCATTCTGTTTTGAGGTATGTAGAGAGGGATCTCTTAAATGACTTTAGGCTTAGGGAAGATTTTAAATTGTGCGGGAGGTCGTTCCACAATTGCGGCGCTCTGTAGGAGGAGGAGGATCGGGCTGCTTTCTTTTTGTATTGAGGTAGACTAAGTAAAGTGCTTGTACTGGATCGGAGCTTATAGAAAGTGGGAACAGCTGAGGAAAGCATTTTGTTCAGGTAGGTTGGGAGCTTCCCAGAAAAGCTCTTAAAAACAAGGCTGGAAAGATGAAGGGTGCGTCTGGATTCCAGCGATAGCCAGCTTAGTTCCTTTAGCATGTCACAATGATGGGTCCTGTAATTACATTGTAGCACAAATCGGCAGAACGGCAGTGAATTGAGCAGTAAAACATGAAATGCATAATCTATACACTAAAACTGCTTCATAAAACTAAAGTTGTTCATGTGGCTATAGTGCACTTTTAATTCAAACGAACAAACACAAAATCCATAAAAAATTGATAATCCAATCCCGCAGTAATTTACTAAATAGTATAATGCATAAAAAAATAAATAAAAAAAAATTAAAATGGATTATGCACTAGGCTGAGCAAGTGTCAAAAGTACATGCCTGAGAGACATCAAGTGACATCCTAGTTAATGGACGTAAAATTACCCTAACACACACACACACTAAGTTGCCATAAGATTCAATGTATCGACAAGAGAGAGATTCTTTAGAAATCAATGTTTCCAAAAGTCACAGGATAACTTATGTTGTTTGTGGCAAAACCGACCTCGCCACGTGTCCTTGGAGGGGGCTGCTTGCCCGCCTCTTGCCTTTGGACTATGGCCCTGCAGGTTAAACTGTTTATTTTCCCTGCAGAAAGGCTTATTCGTGTGATCTGAGTGCCATTCATCTAATAATGTGCAGTCAGATCCAAGCTATCTGGGGATATGTAGAAATGTGTGTTTTATGTACTAAATGTGTCAGTATGTAATTTTATGTCTTTTACTGTCTTTTTGTCTGCCATGTGGGTAATGGAGTTTGGCTCTGTCTTTGGAGATAATTAGATTCCTTCTCCAATTATCTCCAGGGCAGAAGGGAGGAAGCCAGGATGCATTGTGGGGATGTTTTACTTTTACTGTTTGAGCCAGGGGGAACAAAAGATACTTTTACTAACTTTTGAACCCCTGGTCTGATTCATGCCATTTTTAATATGTTGTTCCCCTGAATGGATTGATTGTGAATATGTATTTTTATGCGAATGTGATGTATATTTTGGGAGTTATGAATGTTGTGTAAAAACTGTATTTTCCCTACCCATGATAATTGTATTTCCCTGTGTGTACAGATAATTAGTTTACAGGTAGAGGGGAGGGCTATGTGTGGGATGTAACTATTGTGTGATTGGTTAATGTACGTTACTGTGTGTGTCCCTCCCCTTCATGGGAGCACCTAATAAAAAGGGCTGCAAGCTAGCAGCCAGAGAGTTCTATTTTTACCCTCAACTTGAGTCCTGTCTCTTATTGGGGAATCTGCTACAAGGGATTGCTAGGCATATTCCCTTGCTATAATCACTGAGCTCTTGTAAGAGCTTGTTCCTGCTTCGTTCTGAAGGGAGATAGCTGCAGCCTGCGGTGCTTATGGTGTCTGGTGGAGTGCTTGGAGTCCTCTGGAAGCGCTAGGAGCATCTTTCAACGGAGGTACCCAGTCGGGGTGCCAGGTGATCCGTTACATTGTTCCAAAATGTCTTTGTAAAAAATATATATAAAAAAATATTTGTTTACTCGGAAGTCTTTTTAAACAGATCTAGAAACTAATGCATGAATTCATAGGATAGTGTGACACTTCCGTTTGTGGTTCAGATATACATCTGTTTCATGCGTGAGAGCATAGTTCTGCTCATGAGCCCCTCCCCAAAAATACATTTTTAAACAATTTATAATCCTGTGCAAGGGCTCATACATATATTGGCTGCCTTGTGTGATATTTTAAACCTCTGACTCTCAGTACCTTAAGATGTACTGTTAAAGAGAAAAAGTATTTGATCCCTTGCTGATTTTGAAAGTTTGCCCTCTGACAAAGAAAGATCAGTCTATAATTTTAATGGTAGGTGTAGTTTAACAGTGAGAGACAGAATAACAAAAGTACAGGGAAAAAAAAAACCGCATGTCGAAAAAAAAAAAAAAAAGTTATAAAATTAATTTACAACAAAGAGGAGTTAGGCGCTCACTAAATAAACTAAAGGTGGGCAGCAGTGAACCAAGCAGGAATTCCCAATACCTGCCCACAGTAGTAAAACAGAAGAGACAAAAGTGGTAAACCGCGCCCAAACAGTGCAAATAATAATTAAAATATATACATACAGAGAGTCCTCTAATTAGGAATGTATAAAACCTTCAAGGCAAAAAGGTACAGAACAATAATAGTGCAATATGTCAAGTGAAATAAGAGTATATAAAAGCTTATAAAAGACTCACTCACACTTTGCAGAGCTACTCAGAGCTCTGCCGTATAGCGCCTAGACGGTATAATCCCCGTCTCAGGATATCAAGTGATGGTATAATGCGGTATCCAATCCTCCACAGTGGTATATGGAAAGATAAAAAATAGAAATAAAATCCAATAGTGTAGTATATCTATTAAAAAGTGTGCAAATAAAGGAAAAGTATCCTACTTACAAATTTCAGAGCAAATATCTTGCTCTGGTATAGACAGCATGTGGTGGTATGATCCCCACCAAAGGATATAAGTCAGGATTCAAGATGTATCAGGAACAACAAATAAAGTAGTAAAAACTATAACTTTATTGTTACAAAATAAAAAATATGTAATAAATCTGATACTTCTTTTATTACATATTTTTTATTTTGTAACAATAAAGTTGTTAAATAATAATAAATTATTGTTCTGTACTTTTTTGCCTTGAAGGTTTTATACATTCCTAATTAGAGGACTCTCTGTATGTATATATTTTAATTATTATTTGCACTATAAAATTAATTTGCATGTCAATGAGTGAAATAAGTATTTGACCCCTTCGACTTAGTACCTGGTGGCAAAACCCTTGTCAATTACAGAGGTCAGACATTTCTTGCAGTTGGTCATTAGGTTGCACACATCTCAGTAGGGATATTGTCCCACTCCTCTTTGCAGATCCTTTACAAGTCATTAAGGTTTCGAGGCGGACGTTTGGCAACTCAAACCTTCAGCTCCCTCCACAGATTTTCTGTGGGCTTAAGGTCTGGAGACTGGCTAAGCCACTCAAGGACCTTAATGTGCTTCTTCTTGAGCCACTCCTTTGTTGCCTTGGCTGTGTTTTCGGTCATTGTCATGCTGGAATACCCATTCACGACCCATTTTCAATGCCCTGGCTGAGGGAAGGTGGTACTCACCCAAGATTTGATGGTGCATGGCCCTGTCCATCGTCCCTTTGATGTTGTGCAGTTGTCCTGTCCCGTAAGCAGAAAAAACACCCCAAAGCATAATGTTTCCACCTCCATGTTTGATGGTGGGGATGGTGGAAAATACAGTGTTTACATTGATTGATAGGAATACCTCCAGTGGCCGTCACTCAGACGGCCACCAGAGGGACTTCCTATCATATAACGTTATGGTTAATATAAAAAATAACCGTGTGTTAGAGAACCTAGTATGGCTGCAGTAAACCACTCTACTGGAAAAGTAAGGATTCCACTAAAAAATCCTTAATATTGCAAAGTAAAACAAAAAATATATCAGATAAAAATCTAATAAAAAATCCAGGAATGGTTAACGTGATATACCTTTAAATCTCTTTAGAATAGTGGTAAGACTAGTAATAATTCATTACTTACTTAAAATTTCATAAAAAAATATATCATAAAAAGTATATATATTTTGTGCAACAGATCATTCACAGTAATATCCAATAAATAACAAAACAAAAAAAAGAAGAAAAGGAAATAAATTGTCCAATTGATAACAGTCTTGTAAATAGATACTATGTATCAAATAGTAGCAGCAGTCTTTTAAATTGTAAACTGACTCAGTTCACTCCAGTTATAGAAGAACTGGTATATGGATACTGAGTGAGTTAGTATACTGTGTGTACAATATTATATTATAAATGGTCCTATTTTATAATAATTGTACCCTTGTAAAAAGTAATAAATAGATATAAAATATCATTGATAGGTCATAGTTGATGGCCCTCAATAAAATATATGTTTAATTCACCATTAAAAACTGAAGTGCTGAAATGGTTAAAAATATTCAATTTTATTTGAAAAAAATCAAATTAAAAGTTATATTAGGCACTCACACTTTGATATCAAACTTCTTGCCCGGTTGCAGTTTTGGAACCTGGTGTATACAGTTGTTGCAGTCCGATCGTCAAATAAATGGAAGAGCTGGCTCTCCGTGAGCCTCGTGTGTATCTTTGTTTTCTTCCTTCGTTCGGCGGCAATTTAAATTCCACTAGGTAATCTTGTTACTGATGTGTAACATGTAATAGTTGTAATCACTAGGACAGTAGGTGAGCAGGCTCTCTGTGAGCCGCGTGCGTGTCACAGTTCCTGCGTTCCAGGGCAATAAAGTTGATTTGCGATAGGTGCAATGAATGTCGTAAACAGATCTGTTGCACAAAATATATACACTTTTTATGATATATTTTTTATGAAATTTTAAGTAAGTAATGAATTATTACTAGTCTTACCACTATTCTAAAGAGATTTAAAGGTATATCACGTTAACCATTCCTGGATTTTTTATTAGATTTTTATCTGATATATTTTTTGTTGGACTTCCTATCATGTATGGCCCTAAAAAGGCCATGTACACGTCAGGCGTATTAAAATATGTCTGACGTGTGCAGGAGAGAGAAGGCACTGTGTGGGCGCATTCTCTCTCCTGCCTGTCAGCAGAGGAGAGGGGGCGGGCAAAAACCGCGAGCTGAGCTGTCAGTCAGCTCAGCTCGCAGCTGTGCACAGGACTTCATGAATGAAGTATGTGCGGCAAAGCCGAAATAGGGGGCGCGGCTTCACGAGGCTCCCGGCGCTGGAACCAGGTGAGTAAAAAGGGCTGCCTGGAGAGTCCCTTTAAGTTCAAAATAAGGGATTTAGCAAAAAATTAAATTTCAGAGGGTAATTTGCCACCCAGTGACCATCTTGCAGTGTGGAAAGGAACCGTGTCCTATCAGCTTCTCCCAAATTTGAAGGAAGTAGATGTAACCACAGCACACCATTACAACAAAAAAGGCATACCGTATATACTCTAGTATAAGTCGACCCGAATACAAGTTGAGGCCCCTAATTTTACCCCCCAAAAAATGGGAAAAAAAAAAAACTTACTGACTCGAGTATAAGACTAGAGTGGGAAATGCAGCAGCTACTGGTAAACTTCTAAATAACATTAGATCCCCAAAAAATTATATTAAATTGAATATTTATTTACAGTGTGTGTATATATAATGAATGCAGAGTGTGTATGAATGAATGCAGAGTGTGTGTGTGATGCGTGTATGTGATGCAGAGTGTGTAACCTTGGTGGGGGGGGTGGGCATTTTTATTATTATTACATTTTTAATTTTATTATTTTTAAAAAATTTCCCCTCCCTGCTTGTTAGCTGGCCAGGGAGGGGGGATATATTTTTCCCTGGTGGTCCAGTGGATGGGCTGTGCAGGAGGGGAGCTGGAAGCGAGCTGTTACCTTTCCTGCAGCTCCTGTCAGCTCCCTTCTCCTCCGTGCCGTTCAGCTCCACTGCAAGTCTTGCGGTCTGACTATTTTATATTCTTTTAGATTAGTGTTATACAAACGTATCATGCTATTAATTATTTTTCATATCTTTTTATCCCTGTTTTTGTGTGTGGGGGAGGAGGCCAGGGCAATTTTCGCACCGGGGGAACTGTGGCTCCTAGTTACGCCCCTGTGGGGCCTATCTTCAGTCTATATTCAGCTACAGCTACATACAGAACATTTTGTGTAATAGATGATGGGAAGGGCAGACCACCCCCAAAGTGTCCCTATTTAGGAGAGAGTCACTTCTTTGGGCTCAAATCCCTCTGTCCTGCATTTTTAGCAGCTCCATATTGTTTGTGTGTCTGGGTGTATAAAAGAGCTCCACAGCAATAAGACTCCCAGTAATGTGTCTTTAAAACTACAATAAATATCTTTAGAAATTAGTCTCTTTAAATAAGGTACCTTGTTCTTGTGCGAAATTAATTTATTAGCAAGTTACCTAAAATTCCTCCCCTGGCCACACACCCCATTCACACCCATAAAATCAAGTGTCCCTCTTTATCCATTTGAACACACAGAGTTTCAGGTGATGGCTCCAAGTAGTTTGATTTACACGAATTAGAATAAATTAATTAGTTTACTGAAGAGAAAGGTATATGGAAATATACTGGACAAGGTGCAGAAGATAACTAGGTACCATGCTTATAACATACCCCTGATATTTTCTATCAGTATACAGTGTATAATAGGGAACATATCACAACCATGTTATGTCACCAAGCTGTATGACCTTTACACGGACAATCCCCACACCTGGCTCAGTGCCTGGTTATTGTGAGGACATGAGGATTCCTGGCATGTTCTAATAATTTCCCAACATTTGACTGTACCTTGACTTTGCAGATACTCATATATTTGACGTGTGTATGCCTGATCACAGTTATCCTGTAACTCATCACAGTTATACAGGTGAGCATGCACTGCAAATTCACCGCAAAAATGTTCTGCTTCTTAAATGACATACTATCACCGGAGCACGGTCAGGCATGCAAGGTATGGTTAATCTGCAGCCCTAATGTTCTGGTGGCTTGTGGTGTTAATACTCCATGAACGGCAGTATTTGGGGCCAGTTGGGCTACCAGCCTATGATGGAGATGTATGTTGCCCCTGAAAGTATTCTTAAGTAGTCACAGGTACAGCAGTGTTTAAAGCACACATATTTGCATGTACCTTCATGAGTGACAGTGAAGGCACAGGGAACAATGTATGCATTGCCCTGTGTGGAAGCACTCTCTTACTGTGCAGATCTTTTAAATGGATCAGCCCCATATGTGGTGTCCAGAGAGTGTGGGTAGGATCTACTAAGAGATCTGCAATGTACAGCATGCAGACAGACCCACCTGTCCAACATCAGAGAATAAACATTGCCAGACTGCATCCATTGACATGTAAACAAAACAATAAAAACGTATGACGTCTTGATGAAATTGATATTACATCTACTACATTAGCAATATGGTAAATAAGTGGCTGGACCAGGAACCCCTGGGCGACTTTCTGTTTGTGGCAAATTACTCAAACAGTTTGAATTAGTTGCAGGGGAGCCATTAGTCAATTACTGCAGTCAGTGGTTTACACAAAATACAGGCAGCTCCAAAGACCACTATACCACAAAACAATACCTAATCTCCATATAGAAGCGGTTGGTCCCCACTGCATGAACTAGATTCAGTAAAGCAAACTAAGTTATGACAAAGTGCTACATACACTAAACACGTAAAGGGTTAGGGCTGAATTTATTGCTACGGTTTTTGCACTCTGCAGGAATACATTTTGACTCTGGAATAAAGACTCCCATGCATTCTGCCTTGTTATGCCTACCCATAAAAGACTTCTTGGTGATGGAGCCAGGAGCCTGCTAGTAACATTACTACTACAATGATGCAGTGGTTATGGTGCTCAGACTGCCTCTAAGTGTAGAGGAGCATATATGTGCAAGTAAGAGGGTGCATGTGTGGGTACACTTGCAGTGTAAATGTGAGGACACAGGTGTATTTTTTGCTACTAAAATATATTACCTTATTACCATATTCTTTTTATCATTAGATTTTGGTTTCTGCAGTAGTAGTTTAAAACATTTCACATGGTTGATGGCCCAAATGGAGTGATTTGTTTATATGCACTTCTCTCCCCCCCTCCAGCCTTCCTCTGTCTAAAAAAAAAAAAAAAAAAATTCTTTGTAATGTATGAATGCTATTTAAACCCAAACCAACTATGATCTAATGCATAGTTATTTGATTCACCTTTGCATTAAGTCATGCTTCCCTGTACTTGAGCATGCATCACTATCAGCTGAAAGTCTCAACCTGTGGAAGGGGAGTTAAGGAACAGAACGAGTGACAATGATGCTACAACAGTGCTTAGTCAATCTAACCCTTGTACAAGAATTGAAGCAATATAAACAAGGGGGGAGTTTGACTTCTTTATTGCCCATTTCATTTCCTTGATGCTTTGTCTTTCCAAAGGCATGCAGAGCATCATGTGAGTTGTAGTTCAACACATGATGGGGGGGGGGACGTGTCTATGTTGCCATGTTGCTCAGCTCATTAAAAAAAAAAAGAAAATAAAAAGGGCCTGACTGGACAACAGCAGGGATGTAATAAAAGAAATGGCATGCAAAATTCAGACAGAACAAGCCAATTCCCGCACTACAATTAGTAGGGGCACCATCTATTAAAACAGAACAGGCTCGGTAACAGCATATTTTATTTGGGTGGCAGAAACCAATCAAATGGAAAATGAAATAATATTCACATTATTTCTTTTAGTTTTCCCAAGGTCGATATAAGGTGAATGCAACCAGCTGATGCCAGATACAGAATATTGATGTTACAAGCTTGCATGAATTAACATGTGTCACGTAGTTAGGTCTAAAGCACATATTCAACAAACAAGATATTCTGTAAGAACACCACACCCACGATTGCGGTACAGCATTAGAATAAGGATCTTGAAGGAGAACCCAACAGAGAGCAGAAGGTATCACAACAACCCAACAGAACTGACCAGTATGTTTTATTCATCACTTGTTGGACTAGTTTTTACATGTGGCGAGAAACATTATACAGACTTACGAAACTATCTGCTCATCTTTTTTTTAACGTTCTATTAGTCTGTTGGTATCTATTAACCCCTCCACACTTAGCATTCTCCATACCGCCATCATTCCCATAATCTCATTATCCATGTTTGCATGCACGATACAGTGACAAAAGAGACTGCATTATTTATACATGTGTATTTTGTGTTCTTTTGGAGGCTTTAGGATCAGACTGTTTAAGACAATATTTTATGTGGTAAACAAAGTGTTCCATGAATGGTTTTCCAAGAATATGTGTTAAAGGATCACTATAGGGTCGGGAACACAAACATGTTAACACCATCATCAAGCCCCCCCAGGCCCCTCATGCCTCCATAAATATAGTAAAAATCTTACTGTATTCAAGCCTGAAGCTGTAAATCTGCATGCTGTTATACTCAGAAAAACAAGCAGTCTGCTGACATGTGGTAGCCTGATCCAATCACAGTGCTTCCCCATAGGATTGGCTGAGACTGACAAAGAGGCAGATCCAGCATGATTCAAACACAGCCCTGGCCAATCAGCATCTCCTCATCAATCAATGTCAAAATCAATGAATCTCTATGAGGAAAGTCCAGTGTCTTCATGCAGAGGGAGGAGATACTGAATCACAGGACCAGGGCCGCCATCAGAAATTGTGGGGCCCCTAACACAGCTCAAGGTGCCCGTCTTCAAGCCCCGCCTCCAAATCCTGCCCACAGGAATACACACACACAAATACTGAAACAGACATACACACATATAGACACATACACACACACATTGACGTACACATACAGACATACATACTGACATACAAACATACAGACACGCACACAAACACATACAGACAGACATACATACACACCTCATTTATCAGCCACCCTCCTCTTACCTTTAAGTTGCAGGAGGGTGGCTGGGGATGATGATAGCAGATGCCTCTGGTGTCCTCTCCTGTCCTCCACTCTCCCGCTGCTCTCCCCCCGCGCGGAGTAGGCTGGGAGGAAGTGACCGGCCGTCACTTCCTCCCAGCAGCACTTGCGGTGCAGCCACAATTTTTTTTTTTAAAGTGGCCCGGTCGCGCAATTACACGGCCGCAGCGCTGACCGGGCGCGCAATTACACGGCCGCAGCGCTGACCGGGCCCCTGAAGATATTTCTCAGAAAATACAGTGTTTACATGAGAAAGGCTGCAGGGAGCTATAGTTCTCACCTGGCCCTGTCAAGGCCCACTCCTACACTGCGCTGTTTTGTGGGCTCCATTAAATGTATTGTAGGGTATCCATAGTGTTTATGAAAAAAAGAACCCACGACCAATCAGGGAAGGGATTTCGGATTGTAGGGCTATGCCTGTAAATCAGTCTGCCACATAACATTTGAACAGACCTTAGTTTCAGTATTTACAGATAAAGATGTAGGTTATAAAAACAGCATCAAGATAGAGGTTTGCCAGCTTTCTACCAAGGAGAACTTGTCATTCACCGTTTCCAGCCCGCCCTGTTGGAATTAGTTTTTATATTTAATTTTTTTCTCCTGTTTTGTCTCCTTTGTCACAGGTGTGGAGAATCCTGGCCAGGTTTAAATAGATGCCAGTCTTTGAGAGGGCGCTGGGGAGACAAGTCCTGTGATGGACACAGAACTAGATCTCATACTTAACTGTAGTGGGTTCGATAAGAGTACCCTGATGCCACTCCCCAAGTATAGTGGCAAATCATTTAGCAACAGTTTGCCACTTACCTGGGTTGAGCAAGTCATCGAGTCTCCAGGGAGAGCTGCTGACCCCGCCACTCAATCATTGGGTGAGTGTGTCTGAAATATGCATAGATTGACATTAGCCAACCTGATTACACCTATGGGCAGGGTTTCATACTGAAAAGCTGCACATACAGACTCCAACCACCATAACCACTTTGAAACTGAAGTGGTAATGGTGGTTGGAGTAACACCTTTTATTATGGTGGGTAATACCTGCTGTCTTCTCAACAGCTACAGATTATTGTATTTGTTATGGTGAGCATAATCATTGTCTTCAGGCTTTTTGCAGTAAACACAGTTTTTTCAGAGAAAATAAAGTGTTTACATTAGAGCCTAGTGATAACTCCACTGGCCACTCCTCAGATGGCTGCCAGAGGTGCTTCCTAGGGCAGTGCGACTGCCATACAGTGTCTACACCCTCTTTATGGGAAAGCATTGTGATTGGCTCACAGAATCACTTTGGATATCAGCCAAGCAAGCAGAGGCAGCAGCTGCAGACTTAAATACAAGTAAGATTTTATTATACTTAGGGAGGCAAGGGGGGAGGGGCTAGAGGATGGTTTTAATACTATCAGGTCCTGACCCTATAGTGTTCCTTTAATGTTCCGTGCTGGTTGCTTTTGCTAATAAAGCGGTGGTCAATGCTTGAAGCTCATTTGTCAGAGTCTTATTTGGTCATAGAAATTCAGACAAAAAAAAAAAAAAAAAAAAAAAATTTTCAGGGAGCATATGTTTCCTTACTTTGATTTAAGCGTCTCACACAAATGATCAGGCCTCATTATACACTTCTGCTCTACAGCCAGTGAAAGTTAGGCAAATTTTTTGAAGAATCCTATAGACTAAGCTCGTTTGAGCAGGGTCTTCTTCAACCTATCGTTCCTGTAAGTTTTCTTGTAAATTGCCCTATTTATAGTTAAATCCTCTCTTATAATATTTCAAAGAGCTATGGATTCTGTTGGCGCTATATAAATGGCAATAATAATAATAATAATAATAATAATAATAATAACACATTAGGTTCGCAACCCACTTACAGCAAGGCTAAGACACAATTACTCTTAGGGTAGGGGTGGTAACTATTTAAAACATTTCAGGCAGGTTTCCCCTTGTCTGATCACCTCAGGGAGTGACAGTTTGACCTACCCCACCCCACCCCACCCTCCCTCTTTGCCTTTTTGAGCTTAGATCTTCTATTGTTGTGTATTCTTAATGGTGATCGCTGCTTAGGTTTTAAGACAATACTAGCTCTTGCAAGGAAAGAAGGTAAAAATGATAAAACTGCTAAGTGTTCTATTGAAGACATGAGCTTTACTTAGATTGGCAGGGGAAACACATTGCAAAGGGAGCAATATGAATGGCCTACATCTGAATTCAAAACAGGCTTGCTGATTAATTTGATTTAATAAAGGTGTGACGGTTAGGCTCATTCCTTGGACACTGCATAACCTGTAGATATAGAAGTTGTTCATTCTAAGGTATTTGGTGCAACTGATGTTAGCAATGCAAGGACATACAGCAACATATGTTAGTGAGCATACCGGTCACTACAACTTAAAGCATAACCAGCATTCATGGTTGACAGCTGCAATGATGTGTTTAAAGACTAGTGCAGGGGTAGGCAACCTTTTAGCAGCACTGTACCGATATAGGATTGTGATATCCCATAGCGTGCCGATCCTTTTTTTTAAATTGACGTGTCTATGTTGCCATATTCTGCTTGTGTTATTTATACTGCAATTGCTTTGTATCATTGTATTTGTGTGTATATGAGCTATTAGATTGAATATGTTCATTAGTAGTTTATGATATCGTGTATGATACATATAAATGTGGGCTGTGTATGAGGGCTGCTTGTGGAATTGTGTGTGGATATGTCACATTGTGTGATTGGTAGTGTGTGGGGGCTGCTTGGGGTATTGCATGTGAGAGGCTGCATGTGGGGTTGTGTGCATGTATGTGAATTGTTAGCAGGTTATGTTTGTGCGGATTGTGTGTATGTTTGTGTGTGGGCTGTTATTATTTGTATGAGGGGAAGGTTATTCTGCATTTCTGTGTATATCTAGCAGTGTGGGTGGCTTCCCTGGGTTCCAGTGGGGACCAGGCTGGCCAGGTACAGGTCAAGAACAGAACAGGAGCAGTAACAGCAGCTGCTCTACTACAGTGTGGATTCCCATTCACAAGTGCTGGGAGGAACTGATCTGAGATCACTTTCTCTACGTGCTGCAATGCATAAATTGAGGATTGTCCTTCACCACCTTTTCGTAATAGCAGTCACTGGGACTTCTGATAGGCCAGAGCCTGTTTGGCTCTAGCAGCCATGAGTGCTGTGCGTGGAACTACTGCCGTAGGTTACCTAGCCCTGGACTAGTGTATCAATCACTTTGAGCAGCAAGCAACATATTATGAAACAGTCTAGGTTTGCTTACCTAACTTACGTTGAGACCAATGGACAAAAACTATATATAGCTTACAGTTACTACATCATTGAGAATAAACCAAACAAACATTGTAAGTCTGGGAAGCAATGCATAGCCTTTAAATACAGTAATCCTACTGTGTAGTACATTTTTGTGAATAACAGTGCTTTCATTATGAGAACCTGCAAGTCAGATAAACTAAAAAGGTTCATTCACTTCACTCCAAACTGAAAAACATTAAAGGAACACTATAGTCCCTTAAACAACTTAAGCTTAATGAAGCAGTTTTGGTGTGTATATAGATCATGCCTCTCAGGTTTTACTGCTCAATTCACTACCATTTAGGAGTTAAATAACTTTGTTTCTGTTAATGCAGCCCTTGTCACATTGCCCCTGGCTGTGAATGACACAGCCTGCATTAAGAAAAACAAAACAAAACAAAAACTGGTTTCACTTTTAAGTCAGATGTACTTTACCTTAATTGTATTTCTTGCTCTGTAAATTGAACTTAAATCACATACAGGAAGCTCTTGCAGGGTCAAGCAAGCTATTAACATAGCAGGGGATAAGAAAATCTAAATTAAACAGAACTTGCAATAAAGGATAAACTTTAGAGGTCTCTTTACAGGAAGTGTTTAGGAAGGCTGTGCAAGTCACATGCAGGGAGGTGTGACTAGGGTGCACAAACAAAGTGATTTAATTCCTAAATGGCAGAGAATTGAGCAGTGAGGCTGGAGGGGCATGTTCTATACACCAAAACTGTATCATTGAGCTAAAGTTGTTTTGCTGACTAGAGTGTCTCTGAGTGTTCTCCTTCCCACCACCCCTCCCCCATTTAATATAACTTTTATTGCTCAAAAGATAAAATCAAGTTTCAGTTTGCCAAACTCATCAGGAAAGAGCTTGTGTAATAAAACATACATGTTATTACACAAGCTATATCCTCATTAAAGTTTGATTGGCAAAACTGAAACATTGATTTAATTTTTTAAATTTTTGGAGCAATAAAAGATTCTAATAAAAATTGAAAAATAGTCTTGGGAGTGTGATAGTGAGGAATTTTTCCCAATAAACATAATAATATTTAGATTTAGTGTCACTCACTATACCTGATCAGAGGTCCAAGTTGAAGCAGATGCATTAAGAGAATAAGGGGGCGATCCCTTCCAAGGTCTCGGTGGATGAATGTTAGTGTCAGCTGCACCATGACAGAAGGGACCAACATGAAGACGATAGTCAGGGACATCCATACTGCATCTTCTGTATAGCTGTACCCTGCAGCAACTACTGCCGCAGCTACATTTTCCGCACAGAACAGGAAGGTGGAAGTTAGGATACTGATAGGAGGATGGGTATGAGATCTAACAGCAGTGTAGTCCCCATTCTGCTCCTCTTTCGGATTCCGAGGACTCTCACACACTGTGTCCATTCTACCAAAATTGAAGTGTTTCTGGAACACAGAGAGTAAGCTTGAGAGGGTACGCCAAAATAATGAAGAGTCTATGAGATGACAGAAGAGTCATAGGGGACTTTCTTTGTCTGATTTTTAAAGAACTTAAACTCTAAGCAATCTCTTTCACTGATCCCAGCAGCCAACCCCAAGAGATATGACCATGATAGAATGGTGGCTTGATGTTCACAAAGTAATTGTCCAGTTTGTTAAAATTTTGTCCGCACACATAATGTCACAAGGCAAGGGGAGGGGATGTGAACCTCCTAAGCAGAGAGATGCTCCAGGCTGTTTCTAAAAGATAAAAATGTCAGTTAGTAAATCTTTCTCAATACACACTGTCCCCTCCCTGCAAGTACACAGTACAGAAATCCAGCGCTCTCCTCTGCAGAAGGCAGTCTCCAGAGTCTGTTTAGTGTCTGTCTCTGTGTGTGTTAATGCTTCCTTCACTACGTGTCTCTCCTAACATGATGTGTCCATCCCCACTGATTTCCCACAGCAGGTGTGTGCCTCTGCACTGCTGGGTCCTAGAGCCCTCCGAATTGTAAACTCTTAGAAATTCCATTTACTTTTTTTTTTGGATGTGGTTTTAAAAAGGGTTTCATTAAGAATCCCTTGTTTAAACAGGACTGCTGTTCAACGACTAACAAGCATTGTGCGGCAAGTAAGCAAACAATACAGATTATACAGGTCTTATTGATCATATTTATAAATTATACAGTCAGAACTGGAATATTAAACAGACCCACAAACTAATAAACACGAACAATATTTATTTATTTTTTTAAGAAAAAGACTTCCCAAGAACCCCAGTGTTAAACCAGGATATCAAGCAGTTGGGTAAAATTAGAATAAATCTACTGAACTCACTATAGAGTCATTTACACGTCACCCAAACCAAGCTTTGAAATAAAGCCAGCGTTTGTCTAATCGCTGTAACTCTCTACCCCAGATGTAAGAGAACATGGAGTAAGCAGGCTGTGCTGTGTCTGTCTCTAATAAGTTTAGAACACACAGAATACTTGTTGCAAGAACCGTCTCACCTTACTACCGGTGTTGTTTGTACCTCCCATTCCATTTTGCGAGTTCCTTTCTCTGGTATTCCTCCTGTTCCCTCTCCCTTTACTTCCCAGAGGTTAGTGTGTAGACTGTGACCCATTCCTCAGTAACCATTGCCTAATATAGCCACACACACAGCCCAGCAAGCCAGCTAGAGCTAACCCTTTGATGGTCTCCCTGTCTAGCCTCTCCCACTCCTTTCAGAAACCAGGAAAGGAAGGCAGGGCAGGTACTGAATCTGTACATAGCAAACGTATTAACCCCTTCCTGACATAGGGTTTGGCAAACCCCATTAATCATGACCAGGGATTATAATGTACCATCTGTCATCAAGGGGTAAATGCAGCTTCTGTGAATTTTAATTAGGAACAAAAGGTATGTAAGTGCCAACACAACTTGCCTCCAGCTTTTATCTATTCACCTGTTTATATACCCCACCTACATTCCTCCCTGTGTATTGTTTTTTTTATTTTTCTTCTGTTTTTTTTTTGGATTGCTTATGCAATAGTCGTTAACCTCATACAAAGTAAAGTGTGATTACTTTTGTTAGGTATCAGTACCCCTATCAATACTGCTTTTTGCAATGAAAAATATTTTTTAAAATTACCTACGTGTGTGCAGCCAGTTATTTCTATATCATAGTCTGACTCCGCAACACTGTCAGCTAACAGTTTGTGGTTTACAACTTTAACTTTATTTCAGTAAGTTTCTTACTTCCGTTCCCATAATCATACTGCAATCATGTGTGGTACATGTGGGAGATGACTACAAGGCCAAAAGTTTAGAAAGTGCTCTGTATAAAATAGCTGTGTTTATCCCGGTGAATATAAAAGAGGACTGTAAAATGTTCAATCTTTTTTTTGCCAAATAGCCAGTATGGAACTCTTCTGGTCTGCTTTCTAGTTTACACGCGTCTATATAAATAATATGGCGCAAAAGCTAACAATACATTAAACAAAGTTCAATATTGTTTGCAGGAACCCGCTTCAGATCTTTGTAATAAGATTCAAACAGTAAAACAACAAAAGTGCTGGTGTGCAACATTTATAAGAACACCCTTAATGATACTATGTAGCAAAAGTGCTCTCTGGGTGTTTATATACCAAAGAGTTAGATGATATCAACCCATAATATAACACGTATGTATATACTTGCAATTCCGTATGTATACACTGGTGGTATCTGCAAATAGGAGACAAAAAGAAACACAGAAAGCACTCCTAGTGCAATAAAGTTACAAAAAAACAAACCAAATATGTATAAAACCTCCGTAGGTATTGAACTCACAAGTTGAGAGTGGTAATAGCCCCACGTGTACCACGAGTACGGGGTGGGATCCAACAGATGCTCTGGTGACCCGGGATACAGGTAAAAAACTCCTTTATTTCAAGCCTTAAAAACACATATAGCAGCAAAATACATCCACCGTCTGCTCACCAGCCCTCTGGTAGTAAAGGACAGTTAGGATGTAGCCGCCGTCCTTCTCCTTCCAATCATGGTTGGTCTCGCCGGTGTGCAAGCTTTAAACACTTCTGTGTTCCTGGTCCCGTGGTTCAGTGGCACGATTCTGCCCTTCCACCTGGGGCTTTCTCAAACGAGCAGTGTGACGGACCGCCTGGCACACCGACTGGGTATCTCCGTCAATCGCTGCTTCTTGGTGATCTTTAAGTACCATAAGCATTGCACTGGAACACCATAACCACCATAAATTCCACTAACCACCCCAGCATGGTTGGGGTCTCGCTGTCCTCCACCCACCTTGGACCCAAGACCAGGATCCAGCTTCCAGTGGGTAGACCTCTCCCAGTCCGGCTGCTCTTACAAGAGCGTGATCCAAGGGAGTATAGTGATTATAGCAATCCCCAGAGTAAATATAGCTCTCCAATCCCCCAAACATGAGACTAAACTTCATGAAGGGTAAAATGGAATCTTCTTTAATGGTAGCCACAACTGGCCTTTTATGACAGTCCCCATGCAAGGGGCACTCCCCCTGGACCTGAGAGTAAACCACAGTAGAAACAAATATACAATCACATTGGCTCTCAGGTCCAGGACACTCCCATACAAAATAGGTCAATACTAAACTCAATTATCTCCAAACACAAAAAAAACAAATTTTTACAAAAACCCCAAAATAACTTAAAATACACAAATTTCCCACAAAAGTTACATCCCCTGACATCCCTGATCTGGGTGACCAACTTATCCAAAAATCACCCAGACCAGTTCATGGGTTCAGGAATATCCTGGAAGTCTTAATTTTGACCGCCCGCCCGCATGGCCCCATGCCCAAAACAGTTCCAGAGAATCAGGGCTTGCGTTCGGTCTAGTTCGTAAATTTAAAAACGAACAAACTACCAAACAGAGTCTATATACACAAAAAGAACTAATGCAAAAGGATAGAGAACGGAGAAGTGACCCGGATGTTTTGAAGGACGTTTTAGTGTTTGATTTTAATAATCAACATAGATTATTAAAAAAAACTATTAAAAATTCTGGCCAATACTTAAAACAGATAAAGATCTGGGTGAAATACTACCATCTAAACCTAGGATTACTTTTCGAGGTGTCCAAATCTCAGGAATACTTTAGTTCATAGTTTCTACGAAGAAAGGATAAATAGACCACTAGACACCTTTTTAGGATGCCCCAAGGGCTTCTTTAAATGTAAGATCTGCTCTGCATGTAAAAACACTAAAAAAAAAAAATCAATGGGAAACCAGAATTAAAATTTATGGTAGAAAGGACACAATTAAAGAACAGTGATATATTACCTACTGAAATGTCCATGTCGATTACAATACGTGGGGAGGGCGACACATCCTCTCCACATAAGGATCAGAGAGCATATTTATAATATTAAAAGAGGTGTGGAGTGTCACAGTGTCTCTGAACATTTTACAAAGGTACATGGGCAGGACCCAAGTGGGCTGGAATGTTCTGGGATTAAACAGATATGTAAAGATTGGAGAGGAGGTGATTTTATATGGAAGATCGGACAGGAGGAGATGCAATGGATTTTCCAACTAGAGTCTTTAGCCCAGTCCGGTCTTAACTAGGATTTTGAATTGTGTAACTTTTTATAATATATAGATTTTTTTCTATATTTAAGTTTTTTTTAAAACTTTTATAGTGTTTTTTTGGTTTCTAGACAGTATATATATATATATATATATATATATATATATATATCTGTTTACTTTGCATGGTTTTAATTATTTATTGCATATATTTTATTGTATGATTTTGCCGCTTTTTACTACCGTTTTTAATTTTTAAAATATTTTTATATATATGTTTTCATTGTTATTCTTATTGATATATTCATATATATATATTTTCTATTTTTCTGTTTTCTCACACACCTTCAGCTCTTTAACATACAGGAGAAGCTCATATTTGCATTTTGATATGTGACTATTTTTAAGTTTTGAGTTAGACAACCTTCCCCTTTTTTTGTAGTCTGGTATGGTAATGGAGAAATGAACATAGGTTCCTTGGTTAACATGTAGATGTTATGTATATCTTGGATATGTGATTTTTTATGTAAGTAGTTTTTCTTATTGAGTAGTGTGAGGTACGTTTAATTTCTGATTAGATTCCTATTTTGTGCCCTTTATGAACTAGTTCTACTACTTTATCCTTATAACATTACATTTTTTGAACTGATGAATTAAGGACTTTATTTGGACTGGATAGACTTTATGGCATTCCAGATACTCTCTCTGTGCGAAGTTGAGATTGCTATATGCAGAATGGATCACGGCAAAGAGCCCTTCAAATAAAAGATAAACAGTGGTGGAAGGAGATACTGCTCATTTGAGAAAGTCCCAGGAGGAGGGGCAAAACGCATACGGGACCAGGAACACGGAAGTGTTTGAAGCTTGCACACCGACGAGACCACCACGATCGGAAGGAGG